TCCTCCTCCGCCAACCCCAACTCGGCTGCCCACACGCCGAGTACGCTGCTCTCCAATCAGGAGCAAGTCCTACAGTTTATTGGTTGAACTGGAGGCAGCTGTGCGGAAGCTGTTTACTTCTCTCCCAGCGCCATATTGTGGGAGAGCAGATGCACAGAATAAGTCTTAATTCCAGTAACTTAGTCCAGTCCGGTTTGCTCCCCACAGAGGACCTTCCTGGGCCTCCACGCATCTCACTTCCAAGTAGGTTATAATTTTCCCAGAGAAATGCAAGGAGATGCAGACGCAGGTGCAGATCCTGGGAGGTGAGTCTGTGCCCGCAGGAATCAGACCAGGTCCTCTCCAGCCCTCCTGGCTGCTGCCCGTGTGTGGCCATCACCCAGCCCCAAGGAGAGCTGGCTGGGAGGTCCCTGGCTCAGCACAGATTGGTGCCATGCCCAAAGCTTTTGCATTCAGGAGCCTGCCTGAGGTTGTCCGTGCTGTGACCTCCTGCCAGTGGGCCACAACCACAACCCCAGGGACTTGGACCATGTTAGGGATGATGGAGAAGATCAGTGGATGACCTGGGGCAGGGAAAGAGAGTCGATCAGTTGATGATGAAGATGACAGTGTCTTCATTTAGTGTGCCCTTCCTAGCACCTGGCACTGCGCTCAATGCTTTCCAAGGGTCATCGCATTAACTCCCCTGTAGCCGTCCAATGGGAGTAGCGACATTGTGAGGACGGAGGTGCAGACAGCTGAAGTCGCTTGCCCAGAGCTCCACAGTGTGCAGGAGGTGGATCTGGGAGTGAGCCCACGTTTTTAGTCTTTTTCTTCGCTTTCCCAAGTGGCCATCTCAAGGGCGGTGTCGAGGGAGCCATCCAGCTTCCGGGGCAGGCACGGCAGCTGTTGGAAATATCATAGGAAGGTCAGAAATCTGCGAATCAAGTCACACGGTGAACAGCAGCCTGTGGTTTTGCTTGTTCTAGGATCATACCTCAGAAAGGCAGAAGTGACAGCTGCCTCAGTGGGCAAACTCAGTGGCCTCACTTCCCAGGAGGTGGGACAGTTCTGTAGCCCTTGAATGCTGCCTGCGCCCTCGGATTCTGGCCGAGCTGCTTCCCTGGCGGGATGGGAGACTTCATGTGTGAAAGTGGCCTGGGAGAGGCAGTCTTGGGCTCCAAGGTCGGATTCTGAGCCCTCTCGGGCATGGAGGCATGGTCGTGCTGGTGGGACGCTGCTGAAACCCAGCTGAGCGGCCCTCACCTGGCTGCTCAGAGGGGCAGCTTTACACAGGCAGCACAAGGCACACCCAAGGGTGTGTCCACTCCCAGCTCTGCCCATTTCCCGGAGCCTCGGGGCCCCTGGCCAGAGACAGTAGATCTGGGACTTTAGTCTTTTGGGGGCCCCTCCCAGTGGGCTGTTGACTCAGTTCTAGAGGCCCTTAAAAATATTTATTCTATTTATTTGAAATGTGGAGTGACAGAGAGAGGGAGAAACAGAGAGAGAAAAAAATATCTCCCATCTGCTGATTCATTTTCCAAAAGGCTGCAACAGCCAGGGCTGGGCCAGGTTAAGACCAGGAGCCAGGAGCTCCGTCTGGGTCTCCCATATGGGTGGCAGGGGTCCAAATACTCGGGCCATCTTCTGCTGAGTTCCCCGGTGCGTTAGCAGGGAGCTGGATAGAAAGCAGAGCAACTGGGATTCAGACTGATGCTCCCATATGGGTTGTCAGTGCCCCAGTGGGGGCTTAACCGGCTGCACCTCAACATCAGCTCTAGAAATCCTATCAGAGAGGATTCCGGCTACAACTTGGGTCCTCAGGGTGTCTCGCGCTCAGCAAGGGGAAGTTAAGACCGCCGACCCCAAAGTGTGCTGAAAAAGGCCAACCCCCCCAGAATCGACCTGAAGGCTCAACTGTGCAAGTTTCCTGTAGTGAGATGGGGAGACAGCACCCCCTGAAGTCTCTGCTGCGGCCCCGCCCCCCAGAGCTTGCGTCCCTATGGGGCGTGACCCGCACATCTGTTTCACCTGTGCTGGTCACGTCGGGCCAGGTGGCCAAGAAGCAGAGTCTGGGACAGGCAGGCAGGGGCTGTTAGCCGCCAGCAACCCCCGTCCCCCACAGCCGGGGCATGGCTCACCACCTTACTGGGGAGGGGCTGAGAGGGCACCAGTCCTGGGTTCCACACACACAAAGCACAGTTAGATTCACGGGTCCACTTACAACACGCAGCCCGCACTTAACTTTGAAATGCACTAAAAAGTGAAAATAGATTAGTGGACACAGGAATCGATAGAAATGCAATAAAGCAGCTGGAGGAGACATTAATGACAGAACCCTGGGGTATAGGGGAATTCATTTAACTGGATGTTGGAAATTCTTAATAATAGAATGTTGACAAGAAACGGAAGCAGGATTATATCATATGTGCTCTTCAGGTTCTGCTTGAACACAGCCATCTGTGAGTTATTAGTGAGAACAGGCGTCATCGGTCAACCATTTCTGTTTCAAGTTGTATCTCCCTCGTGCCCCTTCTCTGGTCCCTGACTTCCCTCCTCTGTGCACAACCACGAGAGTACTTGACGCCTGCCTCTCAGGCTACCTTCTGAGCTTTGTATGCCCACGTGAGAGCCACAAACAATCCAGGAGACTCAATGTTGAGTCAGAAACACATCAGACAGCAAATGTCAAATGGCACTGGGGTTTACAGCAGAAAGGGAGTGTGGGGGCGAGCATTTGGCCTGGTGGCGAGGACCCTGGCTAGGACACCCACGTCCTGTATTCGAGTGCCTGGGTTCAAGTCCCAGCTCCGGCTCCTGCTGACACAGACCCTGGGCGGCGGCAGTGACAGATGACACAAGAAGTTGGGTCCCTGCCACCCTCAGAGGAGACCTGGACTGTTTCCAGCTCCCGCCTTGGGCCCAGCCCAGCCCTGGTCCCTGACTGTTGCAGGCAATTGAGGAGTGAACCGGTGGAGGGGACCCATGTGTGTGTGTGCGTGTGTGTCTGCCCCTCAAATAAATAAAAAAATTTCTAAAAATTTCATAACGTGAGCCCCCCAGAACCCCCCATTCCCCTCCCCAAAGGCCCCTCAAGGTCCCCTGCTGTGCATTCTTCCAGGGAGACTTGGGTCACCTGTGAGCATGATCACATCCTTCCTAAAAAGAACTCTGCATCCCATTTGTATTTTGCTCTTTTATGGAACAGCATCCCTTGGAGATGGTCGCGAAGCAGTGGCATTAGCAGCTGTGTGGTTTTCCGCTGTGCCGGGATCACCAGCCACGGAGCCAGCACCCCAGGTTTTCTGTTGTGGCACAGGGAAGGATTGCAAGAACTTGCCCTTGGCTGACAGGCGGCCCCCAGGGCCAGCCGCCACTCAGCCCTTCCTTTCAAAAGCCTGGGGGTGATTTGGGGAGCTCTGGATTCCTGGGGGCTTTGCTTCTGTTCTCAGGGACCACCAGCTCCCACCTTTGCCTCTGTTGTGTCCCAGACCCCCGGGCAGAGCAGGGGTGTCAGTTCAGGGCCAGCATGGAATCCGCAGGGCAACTACAAATCCAGGAGTTTCAGTCTTACCGTCCAGGCTGTGAAAGGCTAGGGCTCAGAGAGGCCTAGCAGCTTGCCCAAGGTCACACAGCTAGGAGGTGTCCATGGTTGGAGCTGCAGCCTCTTTCCAAGACTCCTGCCTGCGCATCGACGAAACAGGGTGGGAGAAGGGACCCAGCTTTGATCAAACAGAGCCTTCAGTCTTTAAGGCCAAGCCTCTCTGGGTAATTCCTGAAGGCCCTGGCACACAGGCCGTGGCCAGCAGCGGGCTCTCGGAGAGGTGAGCGGGAGGGCTGGGGTGGGAGTGTGTGTCTGGGTGTAACCAGCTGCCTTGGCCCTGCAGTCCGCCTGCACGACAGCATCTCTGAGGAGGGACACCACTACCTGATCTTCGACCTGTGAGTTGGGCCCCGCCCTGGGATGAGCCCCTTGGCCGGAGGGGTCCCCGAGTTCCCCAGCTGCGCCAGGCCTCCAACCAAGCAACGCACATTGGCTTTCCCAAGATGCCAACGACCCCTTGCAACGTGCATCGTGTGTTTACTTGTGTTTCTCTTCTATTTGCGGACAGCGCCACTGTCCTTTGCAAACTGAATGAGATGTTTCCTTTTGAACCATGCTTACTTTTACAAAGCCAGTCAATGGAAAGAAAAGCCGTATGACATGACAGGCCTTAGTGGTTCCTGGGCTGCCAGCAAAAGTCAGCAGCGGCCTGGTGTTGTCAGTAAAGCTCAGCCCATGAGACTGCATGGGTGTGGGGCAGGGCATGCGTGGGAAGTCTCTGTGCCTCCCCTTCGGTGTTGCTAGGAACCCAAAGACATTCCCACAAAGTAAGACTCCAAAGCAAAGAGCAAAGCAAGCAACCAAACTAAACAGGACTTGGAAACCAGGAACCCAATGATCCCAGTGATGTGTTCACCCCAGGGTGCCTGCCCCTCCACCCTGTCTGGGCCCAGTTGGGGAGGAAGCCATGAGTAGTGGGGAGAGGAGAGGGTGTTGGCAGAAGGGTGTGCTGGGAGACAGGAGGGGGCTGCAGCAGGGTCACTTCTGAGGTCCCCTGGCTCCGCCCTTAGCCTCCTGCAGACGCCTCTGGGGTCTCTGGGAGAGGCTGATTCTCAACCTGTCTCCCCAGGGTCACTGGCGGGGAGCTGTTTGAAGACATCGTGGCCCGGGAGTATTACAGTGAGGCAGATGCCAGGTGAGGGCTGTTTGTGGTTGGCCATGACGCCGGGGGCGGGGGCAAGGAAGGCCTGCCCTTGGCCCTGACCCTGACCCCTTGCTCTCTCTGCCCAGTCACTGTATCCAGCAGATCCTGGAGGCCGTGCTGCACTGCCACCAGATGGGGGTGGTGCACCGGGACCTGAAGGTGAGCCTGCTGGGGGGGGGTGCGCGTGGCCCTCGGGGTCCCCGCCCCACACACCCACCCTGCACTTCCCTCCTGCTCAGCTGCGGACGACCACACTCCCTTTGCTTTCCCTATGCTAGGCCGGATGAAGAAAGTGAGCTAAGGAAGGTGCATCCCCTGGGTTTGGGCCCCAGGTGGCCCAATCCCCAGCCCAGGTGCTTAGTGCCAGGCCAGATGAGAGGCAGTCAGACCCCCAAGACCGGCTGTGGTGAGGCTGGGGAGGAGGCAGGCTGGGCCCCTGTCCCAACCCAGGGACACCCTGGGCCTCAGCTTGTCTGTGCTGGGGGTTGTCGTGGCAACCTCGGGGTGGGGGCACTTGGTGAGCACTTTGGATGAGATGTTGCCCTGCAGGTACACACTGCGGCAGCAGGCAGGGTGATGGCCCTTCTGCTGGTCTCTGGCAGGCCAGGAGAGAAGAACAGCAGGACTCGGGGTCCCCCCTCTCCCCACTTAAGGGAGGAGATTGACAGATTCAGCAGGTGCGGCATCTGAGATCGGCCTTGCCGTGTCAGTACTAACTTCCTCCATCTCCCCGTGCTGGGGGTGGGGGGGCCTCAGCGGCTGGCAGCTCGTGTTGCCCCCAGTTTGCAGAATAGGAAACTGAGGCCTGCAGGTCCAAGGGATCTCCCTCAGGACATGCCGTTCAGCTGTGGCTGAGTCAGCATGAGAGAGCCCTGGCCTTCCAGCCCCGGTCCTGTGGCCACTCAGTCTTGCACCTGCTTCTGCACAGCCCCTTCTGGGGCAGCCCGGCCAGGTGTGCAGGGAACCTCTCTCTGACCGCAGCACAGATGCCTTCTCCTCCCCCGGGGCAGCCCCTGCACCCCTGGGAAACGTGCTTCGGGTCTCTCCTGCTGTGGGGGCTTCGCCCCGAGTGCAGTTCTGCCCTGGCGAAGCCCACAGAGATGAGGTCTGCAGCCCAGGGCAGGGCTTGGGTGGCTTGGTTATTGTTCCTGGGTACTCTGCAGGCTGCGGGTCTAACCCCAGCTCCCCTGGGGCTCCCTCCCTGGGCACACTCTGGTTGGTGCAGTTCCTCTGAGCAGAACCCCCATTCTCCTGTGTCCCAGACAATCCACGGTGTCTCACCCGTGCCCCAGGTGAGCTCCCTGGGGCTTGGGTTAGACCCCAGGCAGGTTAGACTCGCTGGCCGGACGGCAGGGCAGCGCTCCCCAAGGGCCTGTCCCCATTACAGCCACAGCCCCTGCACGGGAGGAAGGCAGGAGGCAAGGTGGCCCAAATTTAGGCCATTCTGGATACACTAATTAGTGGCATATTCATCAAATCAGGGCAGGACAGCCACAGCCGAGACCCAGGACATGCCAGGGACACGGTCCCCAGAGTACAGGGGAGGCCTTGGCGAGCCAGGCGGAGGGAGCTATTTTTGTTTGGGTCCAGCCTAGCTTTGGCAGTGAAAGGTCAGAGGTGGGACCCTCAGAAGGCCCCCCCTGGGGAAGGCCTGGAACCAGCTCTTTCCTGGACCTCTGAACCCATCTCTAAGCAGAAAACATGAGCGCTAACGCTCACCGAGCACACAGTGCAGGCTGCCCCGGGCGCCGTGCAGGCGAATCACTCAGCGGGGCCACCCCGGCACACTGCCAGCAGCCCCATTTTCCTGAGTGGGAGCTAAGGCACAGAGACGTAGCAGAACTTGCTCAAGTCCCACAGCACAGACGGGGCAGTGCTGGGATCGGAAGCCCATACTCCCTCCATCCTGAGTCCCAGGGTGGAAGGGGACCAGCAGGAAGTTGAAGAACTTCAGGGGCTGAACTGGGGTCCAGGCTTCAAGGTGGCAGCTGGGCGGTCGGAGGCCTGAGCACAGGCCACAGCGCCCCGCAGTGCAGAGGGAGTGACGTGCAGGCAGAGTTGGCCTTCATTCGGAATCTGTGGCTTCCCTGCTGAGTGACGTGATCCAGGCGCTTAGCGGACAAACACCCATTAAATGCCTGCTGTATGCCCACACCCTGCCTCTATAAGGTCTGCCACATGGGTGGGTGGGGCCCAAGCACTTGGGCCATCTTCTGCTGCTTTTCACAGAAGAATAGCTGGGAGCTGGATAGGAAGTACAGCAGCCAGGACTCGAACTGGCGCTCATAGGGGATGATGGCATTGCAGGCGGTAGCTTTACCCTCACGCCACAACACCCACCCCAGCCTAAGAGCCATCTCACCTGCAGTACCAAACAGCCACCCTCCTCCTTCGGGTGGGGTAGTCACGGAGGGCCTCTTTGAAGAGGTGACAGGAGATTGAGAGCTGGACAAAGAGAAGGGAGCCAGCTGTGTAAGGCCTGGAGGAGGGGCGGGGATCAAATCAGGCAAGGGGAGCAGAGAGTACAAAGGGCCTGAGGTGGGACTTAAGCAAGACTGTTCTAGAGAAGGACGAAGGCCTCTATGGGAAATGAAGCAGAGATAATAATCCCAACCCCAAAGAGTTGTCAGGACGACAAATGAAGCGATGCTCACAGAACACTTAGCTCGGTAGCTGGCACACAGTAGGTGCTGGCACACAGCAGGGGCCCAAGAAATGTCATTGCCTCTTCCTTATTATACGTCCTTAAATTATGGCGGTGGCTGTAACACCGCCCCACCTCCCTCCTCCCCCCTCCCCCCTCCACACCAGCCCAACTCCTGAGCAGAGGCCCAGGAGGCCTGGCCAGAGGAGGAAGGGAGGGTCTCTGTGTTGTAGAAGCCAGATGTCCCAGGGCTGCAGGAAAGGCCCCTCTCTGGGACCCGAGCTCGGGATCCCGTGGTGGGGGCGGGGTGCCCAGGCCAGCCAGAGGGAGGCTCTGCGCCTGCTCACCTTTCCTCCCCTCTCTCCCTCTCCTCCCGGGAAGCCGGAGAATCTGCTGCTGGCCTCCAAGCTCAAGGGTGCTGCTGTGAAGCTGGCGGACTTTGGCCTGGCCATAGAGGTGGAGGGGGAGCAGCAGGCGTGGTTTGGTGAGTGGGGGTGGCCTGGTGGGGTCATCGGGGGCCAACCTGGGCCCTGCTGGAGCGGAGGACACTGGAGATGGCTGCTGGGCCAGCCCAGGCTTGGGGAGCAGAGGCCCACTGCCTCTGGGCCCAGGGGCAGTGCCTATCTTGCCAGGCACAGAGACACAGCTAGGGCTCCAACAGAGCATGGCTTCTTCCCCATGCTGGCTCGGGGCTTCCACAGGGCCTCTGACAGCCCAAGTGCTACAGAAAAGTAGTCTAATTTCCAACTGTGTCCCTAACTTCCTTGGGCAGGTCTCTTACCTTTCTAGGCCTCCTGAGAGCCCACGGCCAGCCCCTGCTGGGGCCCAGGGAGTGGATGAGGGCTCAGCTCTCAGCCCGGAGCTGCCTTGGCAAGTGCACTTCCTCTTGAGGGTGACCAGCGATTGATTGGTAGTGGCTGCTAGGAAGGTGTGTTAGGAAGTCTGTGACTCCTGGTGGGAAAGCAGCTCTAATTGATTAAAGCTGTCTGCCATGGGCCCTGGAGTGGGGAGCAGGGGCAGGTGTGCCACATGGTTGGCCTTGCTGTAGGGGCTCTAGAGGCTTTGCTGGCTTCCTGGGCCCCGCTTACAACTGAAGCTCGTGGGCGCAGGGCTGTTTCCCCCAGCTCCAGGGCAACCTCGTCCCCTGTTTGCAGGATCTCGCTCCGGGTCACTCATGTGCAACCTCTGTGTGTGTGTCTGCCTGTCTGTGTGTCGGGGGAGCAGGGTTTGCAGGGACCCCCGGATACCTGTCCCCAGAAGTGCTGCGCAAGGACCCGTATGGGAAGCCTGTGGACCTGTGGGCCTGCGGTGAGTCCAGCCAAGGATTTGTTCATCCCTCTGGCCACTTGAGCCTTGGGCCTGCTCTCTGGCTTCCCATCCCTTCCATGTGTCCGTCTCTCCTCTCCCCAGGGGTCATCCTATACATCCTGCTGGTTGGGTACCCCCCATTCTGGGATGAAGACCAGCACCGCCTGTACCAGCAGATCAAGGCCGGCGCCTATGATGTGAGTGTCGCCCCTCTCTCCAGACCCTGCCATCCTTTTCCAGGGAAAGCCATGGTGCAGGAGGTCAGAGGCCTGAGGACACCTCCCTCCTGCCCCCCACTAAGCCTGCTTTTGCAGGGCACAGACCCCAGGGTGGCTGCCAGGGCCAGGGGAGGACCACGTGGGGCCCCAGAGGGCCGAAGCAGCACCACAGTGGTGAGAGGAGCTGGGGACAGTATAGTCCAGGAAGCAGCTCTTTCTCTCCTAGACCAGGGGTCTTCTAAAAGTTCATGGCAATGCCTTTTATGAAAAACTCTATGTGCATTGCACAAGTTTTTGCACTAAAATAAACGGATCTCTTAATTTCGTGTTCCCCTTGCATATCAGTACTGATGGCTAACACTTCTGTAGCCCTCTCCTGAATGCCTTACTTTCTGATCTCTGCCCTGTGTTCTGCTGTTATCCTCTTTCCCAGGAGGCAGAGAGAGGTTAAGTAACTGCTGAGATCCGATAGCTAAGAAACGGTAGAGCTGGGATTTGAACCCAGTCAGTGTAGCTCTAGCATCCGTGCTTCTCACTGCCAAGCTATACTGCTCTCCCGCAAAGCTGACACCCGTGAGGCTACAGGCCATGCACATTTAAGCCTCACCACATCCTTATAGATGGCTTGAGGTGGCCTGAGATTTCTGGAACTCACATAGCTCAGGGGGCAGAGCCAGGACTTGAACCTGGGGCCTTCTGATTCCAGTCTGGGCTAAAACCATTGGCCTGCGGCTTTCCAGATGAGAAAGCAGAGGGAGGTCTCCTTTCCCGCTGGCCGTCTTCTGCTTTGTCCTGGGATCAGGGGACTGTGGTCCCGAGAGGGGTCACTGCCTTGAGGAGCCCCAACTCCTCCTGGTTGTGGACACCCGTGTGGATGGGCAGTAGGACCCCTGCCTGCTCCCCTGCCAGTCAGGGGCTGGGGGATCGCAGGGGTGGCCTGGGGCAGGCTAGGCAAACCTGGCCCCTCTGCCCCTTCCAGTTCCCCTCACCAGAATGGGACACTGTCACCCCAGAAGCCAAGGACCTCATCAACAAGATGCTGACCATCAACCCGTCCAAACGCATCACGGCCGCCGAGGCCCTCAAGCACCCCTGGATCTCGGTGAGCTCGGCTCAGCAGGGCCCCTCCTGGGGGCTCCACTGTCCCCAGGGGCCAGGTCCTGCCCGGCTCTGCCCCTGGCTCTCCAGCCCCAGCATGGGCCCAAGAGGGCCTAACCCAAGGGCCTCCGATGCCACTGTGCTTGTCAGGGGTGACGAGGAAGTGAGGACCATCATGGGTTGGCATCGTGCCTGGCAGTGCTCCGGGTCCCAAGCATCCTGCCACATCCCCATGAAGACGCCCTGCTGGGGATGGGGGGCACCCTGGCCAGGCCCGTCTGCAGCCCGCCTCGCACTGACCCCCATCTTCTCTTCCTCCCCCAGCACCGGTCCACCGTGGCCTCCTGCATGCACAGACAGGAGACCGTGGACTGCCTGAAGAAGTTCAACGCCAGGAGGAAACTGAAGGTAACAGGTCCTCACCCTGCACATGGCCCAAAAGTGGCCTGGGTTTCATCTGAAGCTAAGAGACTCGCTCACTAGTTCTGTCCCTCACTGATTCGACGAGCATTTATTGAATAGCTACTGTATGCTGGGCAGTGGGCTGGGCTCTGGGAACTAGCAGTACACCAGGTGGCATCCCCACCTTGGCGGAGCTCTTGGTCCAGTGGGGAAGACAGACAGGTAACTGGGCAGTAGGGGGCAGTGGTGGGTGCACACTCAGGCAAGCCCAAGGCGCGGGGAAGATCTGGCAGGGAAGCTGCATTCCCAGGTCTGGAAGGTTCAGGGATGGATTCCAGGGAGACTTCCTGGAGCCAGTGGCATTTAAGCTGAGACTCCGAGGGAAAAGCAGGTCTCAGCTGAATACAGAGCGAAGAGTGGGCAGATGTCCCACACAGAGGGAAAAACCACTTGTGTGAGTCTGAGGTTGAACCTGAGCCCTCGGGTGGCCGCACGTGGTTCAGAGCAGTTGGGGAGGGCCCTGTGGGTGAGGCGTGGCTGGGCACGAGACCAGGTGGGGAGGAAGGGCTGAGACACCCAGACCGTGGTCACGGCCCCACAGAAGGTTCGGTGGGACCCAGGTGGGCTTCTGGGCAGGTCATGAGTGCTCACAAGGCCAGCCCAGCTCCAGGTCTAGCCCTCGCCCAGCTTGGAGAGGCCGGTCCGGACAGAGGAGCCATCAGCACGTCGGGGGTGATGCGGAGAGGTGCAGAGGCCCTGGCTACTTGGGAACCTCCTCACCTACTGCTCCCAGCCTGGAGTGGTGGCTCAGGGTGGGCACGTGGGCCTGGGGTGGGCATGGGGCTGCCGGGAGAACCGTGCCCCACACCACCCAGTGGGAGCTGTGTCTCAGAGGAAGGCTCAGGATGTGCGAACCAGGGATCCTGCCCGTGGGAGCCTGGCCGATTCCGCATCCCGGCGAGGCCCGAGTCAGGTCTGAGTCACACAGCAGGAGAGCCGAAGGGCCATTAGTCCCGACCCCTGGCTGACAGAGGAGGGATTCTCGACACTGGGAACCCTCTGGAGTTTTGAACCCAGGGCCGTGGGGTGACGACCTGGTCCTGTGGTGAGGTGTCCCCAGCCGCAGGTGTGAGGACATGTCTGCTGGCTTGATGCTAAGGGCAGGACACTTCCGTGGCCTTTAAAAGCCCCTGCTGTTGGCGTCCTTGGGCCATCAGCGGGACCTATTAATATCTACCTGTGGTGGCCCTGTCCCAAAGCCCTGCTGGCCCGAGTCAGCTCGCCTGGCTGCTCCAGGGAGGGGGATGGGCCCTGGATGGCAGGGGCTGGGGAGGGACAAATGGATGGGGGTGGGGGCCAAAGTTTGGGCCTCTCCTCCCCTCACCCATGGCCCCCTGTCCCCTGCCCCCTCTTTTCTGTTGCAGGGCGCCATTCTCACCACCATGCTGGCTACCAGGAACTTCTCTGGTAGGTGGTGGGACCTCAGAGGTCCCAAGTCACCTGCTTTGGTCTGTTAGGGGAGTTGGCTTATTGGATATTTGGGTGCCCCCAGGGGCCTACAGAGGACACCATGACTGGGGCCTTGGTCCACCTGCCACAAACCTATACCTGGAAGTGGAGAGAGATCCCAAGGCAGCAAGTCAAGGTCCCAGGTAGAGGTATAGTCTGGTTCTCTTGCTTTGCAGCATCATGGGGGTCTCAGGCATGGCCAGCCAGAGGGCAAGGCACCCCTGGCATTGGGGGTTCAGGGCCAAGTAGGCTGGAGCAGCCACAGTGGCCAGCCTGTGCGGGAGCTCCCTGGGGGCCTTTGCAACAGCAGGGCAGACGAGAAAACGGACCCCTAGAGAGGTGAGCTCTGACTCACCCAGGTTAAAGAGGAGAGGGGCCATGCCCGCGTCCAACCCAGGTCTGACCAACCAGAGCAAGTATCCCTCCCCAGGCCAGGCTGCGAGGAGTCCAGGGCGGGGGCCTCAGGGCGCTGGGCCAGAGCCGGGCTGGTGCCGCGGGGAATGCCCAGTTCCCGAAGAGAGAAGGGGAAGGGATTATGGTAAGGACTTAGCAAGAGGCTCCTCTTGGCACGCTGCAGGGCTCCAGGGCCAGCGCCCGCCTGCCGCCAGAGGCTTTTCTCTGGGGAGCCTTGGGCAGGGCGGGACATGGAGCCGATACAGACAGCAGATACGGCAAAGTCACCCGGTGGTCCTCCGATGGCGGTGCTGGGCTGCTGCCAGAGTGTGGCCAGTGCCATGGCAGAGGTCAGCCCTGGGGCGGGGCAGGTGCACACATCCGGTGAGCAGACAAGGCTCCTCAGCTCCATCCACTGGAAGCTGAGCTACCGGACCGTCATAGTCTTTTTTTAACCGCTGAAGCACCCTGAGGAGCCCAGCACAGAGCTTACAACACGGCGGCCCCTGGGTGGGATCCACTGTCTATCTACGTGTGATCGGGCTGGGGCAGGGTGTGGGGGGAGTGGGTAGGTTCTAGCACTTAAAAATCAGGATATTTCACAGAAAAACCCAGATGTCTGTTGTCTCTTCAAAGTCAGAATCTGAGGCCTCAAAGACCCCACAATCCTGCAACAGTGGGCTGGCGTGGACGGGGCTGCCCTCCTGAGGCCTGAGGGACAGGCACCCTGCCCTCTGTGCCTCTGGTCCAGTGCGCTGAGCCGGTGGATGGTGATACAGATGCACTCCCACTCCCCTTGGTTTGCCATCAGAAGAATTCTTTTTCAAAGAGATTTATTTGTATTTGTTTGAAAGGCAGAGAGAGAGAGAGAGAGAGAGAGAGATCTTCCATCTGCTGGTTCATTCCCCAAATGGCTGCAATGGCTGAAGTTGGGAGCCCAGAGCTCATCCAGGTCTCCTATATGGGTGGCAAGGACCCAAGCACTTGGGCCGTCTTCCGTTGCCTTCCTAGGCCGCGGCAGCAGGGAACTGGATCAGAAGCGGAGGAACCAGGCCTTGAGCCGGAGCTCTGCAACTCAGGAGACTTTGAATGAGAGCCTGGAGGAGATGTAGGTGGCAATGCAGGGGACCTGGAAGCTAGACCAGCCACGAGCCTCATTCCCCAGAGCATCTCAGGCATCGAGACCCTTTGTCGTTGCCCCCTCCCAGCCCACCCTCTGGAGCCCCCAGGAAGAATTTCATGGCTGCCATCCACGACACATTTTAGAGATCCTTGTAGTTTCAGGCATCCGCCTAAGGTCTGAAGCAGCCGGATGCCAGGGACAGCAGAGCCAGGCAGGAGAGGGGGGTGGGGAGGCAAAGGGAGGAGGCGGAGCTGGAGGCCCTCCGGGGGCCGGGGGCGGGGGAGGGGGGATCTGCTTTTCCTGGCCACCAGGGACACAGCCAGCCCTCGTGTGGGGCTCCAGAAGCTGTGTGACCCAAGAAGGAAGGCAGCGATGGTGCTCTGGCTGGGGTGGGCCCCTGTGGGGGACATCTGCTTCTTGTCACCAGCAAAACATGGCTTGCAGCTGTCCCAAGTGAGTAGGCAGGGCTGACACCTGACCTCTACAGCAGCGTGGGGCTAAAATTAGAACCAGGCGGGAGGTGGAGGGGGGAGCGTCCAGCCCCAGGCCAGGCAGCCAGGCCTCTGGGTTGGCTGCCACCAGCGCAGTGGTGACCGGGATCCAGAGGGAATCCCCGGGCTGAGGAAGCAAACCCATGGCCTGGGGACGCACCCGTCACCTCCCCAACACATGAAGCCGGAGGTTACGCCTGAGACCAGCAAGATCGCTGAGAGCTGGAGAGCCCAGGCCCACCCAGCAGGCCCCGGGCAGTCCTCCAGCCGCTGAACACAGAGGAAGAGGAGGAAGAAGAGGAGGAAGAGGCCTCCCGCAGGGCTGTGGAGCCAGCTCTGCCCCGCACCGGCTGCCCCGGATGCTGCTGTTCCTCGCCCTGTGGGCCCTGGTGCCCTGCCTGGTGTTGCTAACCCTCTACTTTCTCTCCTCCACAGGAGGGAAGAGCGCGGGGAACAAGAAGAGCGATGGCGTGAAGGTAAAGCCCCCGTGAGCCTGCCAGGGCCTCTGCCTGGCTGAGTTTCTGCCCTAGGGCAAGACCCGGGCCTTAAGGGCGGTCTCATGGGCGGGCTCTGGCTGAATCTGTGGCCAGGCCGGCCCCTGACCCACAGGCCTGGGCTCTGGTGGCCACCCTGTTAACCACGCTGGGGGAGGGCGGGTAGGGAAGCAGGGCAGAAGAGGCAGGTGGCCCAGCGCTGGGGTGAGCCCACGGAAAGGGCACGTCAGGAGACGGCTGGGGACTCTGGGGCTGGAGAACTGGGGACCAAGAGGGTACCAGAAAGGGACAGAATGGTCAGGAGAGTGACTGTCTCCCGCCCGAGTGTGGGTGGGCTGGAACGGGCCCACTCTTCCTGACCCACTCTCCACCCTAGTGCAACCCAGAAAGCCCTTCAGGAGAGAAGCCATGCCTATAGGCTTTGTGGTCCAAGGTCCCCCTCCCCACCAAGGCCCACTGGTCACGTGCCAGGAACCCCCTGCTGCCTTAGGGCCTGCCCCCGCCCCCACCCCCAATGCCCGAGCTCCTTCCTGCCACGCCTGCTGGACTCTCCTTCCGTCTTTTCTCTCTTCTCGCTCTGCTCTCTGGGTCCTGGGCCCCTGCCCCCCGCGGATCCCTCCTTCCCTGACACTGACCACCTGCTGGGGTCTCCGCCCCTGAGACCCTGCCTCGCTCTGGGCTCAGAGCCCCACCGGGGACCCAGGGTGTTGGAAGGTGTGCCGGTGGCTTCAGGGCCTCGTTTACATCGGCACTTTTGCTCTGTTGCTGCTGGCTTTGGTCTGTGGGAGGGAGTCTGAGCTGGATGCCCGAGGCCAGGATTGGGTGTCCCTGTGCCCTTTGCCTTGTCCTGTCTGGAGTTTGCCCATGGGTGTAGCGGGCGAGGAGCGGACTGGGGGTTATGTATGAAACTTTAGCTTTGCCAGCAGAGGCCCCAGCGACAAAGCCCCTGCGGTCACTGTCCCTTCTTGGCTTGGGTGCTCCAGGCGCGTAGTCACGCTCCCTGTAGGATGATTCCGTCAATGGCGGGTAGCATACCCGATGGAGGTCCCATAAGATTGGGGCTTTTTAAAGATGACTTTATTTACTTAATTTACGTATTTGAAAGGGAGAGAGAGAGAGAGAGAGAGAGAGAGAGAGAGAGAGAGAGATCTTCCATCTGCTGGTTCACTACCCAAATGGCCACAAACAGCTGAGGCTGGGCCAGGCCAAAGTCAGGAGCCTGGAGCACTATCCTGGCTTTCCACGTGGGTGCAGGGCCCCAAGCACTTGGCCATCTTCTGCTGCCTTCCTAGGCACATTAGCAGGGAGCTGGATTGGAAGTGGAGTAGCTGGGACTCGAGCCGGCGCTCTAGTATGGGACGCCAGCATCACAAATGGCGGTTTAATCCACTGCACTCCAATGCCAGCTCCTAAGATTATAACGGAGCTGAAAACTTCCTGTCATCTCATATCTTTACCGCACCTGTCCTAGGTTTAGTTGCGTAAATCCTTAGGATTGTGTGACTGTTCCTTGCAGCACTCAGCGTGGTAAGAGGCACAGAGGCACGTGACCCAGAGAGCAGTAGGCTACTCCACAGAGCCAACGAGTGGTGGTAACTGTGCCATCCAGGTGCTATACGTCTGCTGTGTCCTCAGACAACAGAGCAATTGCCAAACAGCACGTGTCTCAGGACGAACCCTCGGGGACATGGGACAGCTCTCAGTTATGAGATCATCAGTCAAAACCAGTGGTTTTCAAACCAAGCTCCCTGGCATGGGATTGGAAATGGGGAAGGGCAGGTTTACAGGGTTCTGGGCTTCTCATGCCCGTGGCAGCCAGAACAGGTGTGTGTGACCCCATCACGCTGGCGGAGGGAACCCAGGTGGGTCTTGCTTGGCTGGTGATTTCAGTTCCCCAAGCCTGGGCTCCCTCATCTGTGCAGGGAGACTGAAGTGGTTTCCCACCCTGGAGGGCTCTTGGTGAGCCCTGAGCATGGCCATGTGTATGGAGAGCTTAGCCGTGGCTCGTGGCACGGTCTGTGCTCCTGAGATGGTCAGTATTGTCTTTTTTTCTGCTTGAGACCTGAGACTTTTGGGTGTGACTTCTCATGAAAATGCAGTTTGATCAGAGAGTGTTTGGAAAATACTGATCTAAAACCAAGCTAATTTAGGAAGTTAATCCTATGATGCGTCCTGCTTCTGAGATTGGCCTTGTCTGTTTGTGGCCTACCCCTGAGCCTGCTTCCTCGCAATTTGAAAGGGTAAGAGGGGAGGGGCATGCACTGTGGGAGTTTCCAGGTTTGAGCAGCAGCCCCCGCCCCCCATCCCTAGCGTGTAGATGCTGAGCTGGGGAAAGCTGTCTCCCTGGGTCCAGTGTGGGGGTATGGGGGCAGAGGCTATGGACGCAGGGGTCTGTGGCCCAGGTCAGTGGAGAGGTTGCCCAGCCGCCCCTGGCTGCTTGGCCTTGGCAGAGGGCTGGAGGAGAGCCATGGGGTGTGGGCTCAGGAGGGGCCTCCCTCAGGCTGGGTCTTAGCAGGGAGCTCCTGTCTGGCTCCTCTCAGGCCAGTTGCAGAAGCTGTCAGGAGACAGGGACAGCTCATGGCCTTGGGGACACGGATGCACCAAGTGCCACTGCTTCCTCTGCATAGGACGGACTCAGAGCGACTTCTCGGGATGCCTGAGTGTGGTGGAGAGACTCTCAGAGGCCACGCCTGCCCCGACCACGTCTCTGTAGCTCAGCCTGCTTCCCTCCCTCTGGGAGGTGGAGGGAGGAAGATGGGAGACCTGGAGGAGCACGGGGAGCAGCGGGGGTGGGGCCAGCTGTGTTCTCAGTGCGAGCAGGACGGGACTTCCACAAGTCCTGGGGCTGAGCCCTCCCTTGGGTCCTAGGCTCTGCTACCTGGACACAGGGACCCAGCAGCTGTTCGCACGGGGCTGGCGAGGCGATCACAGCAGAGTGGTCGGACGGCTCCACACTGTGACTGGGTCATGTCAGGGGCTGGGGGACCCACGTGCTCCCTGCCACGTGGGCGTGGGAGGCAAAAACCGCATTTTTGCCTGGAGCTGAACTGAGGAGGCAGAGATGGGTTTCCACGTAGAGAGGGCGCTAGCCTGGCTCTGGTGACAGAGCCAGGACGCAGTCCTGTGCGTGTCTGGCACCGACGGGCTTGTCGAGGCTAATGTTGACCCTGCTCTGCTCCCCCCCCGGCCTTGCCAACCTCAGAACCGTGCTGTGCCACGTGGTCCCGAGAGTGCGAGTCTCGGTACCCGGCCATTTGCCGTCAGATTCTCCAGTGCTGCTCAGGGCGGGAGAATTAGCATCACCACCGTTTGTGAGTTAGGAACATTGAGCCTTCCCGTTGCCACGAAGCAACCCCCATCCTGGCCACCCCTGCTCTGGGCGGCCATCTGCTCCCACCCCTCAACCCCACTCACTGCCCCTGTTGGTGTCCCGTCCGTGCCGTCGTGCCGTCCCTCCCCCATGTCCCACCCTGTCACTGTGCGTCCGGATCTGATGCAGTCTCTGCTCTGTGTTCCCTCTTCGTGTCCCGCCTGGAACCTCCGGGCCCCTGAGCGGCTCCTCGGGTTTCGGCTGATGGCTGAGCTGGGTGGGCCTGGCGGCAGCCGGGACATAAAACCAACACTAGGAGGAGAGGAGAAGAAGTGAGGGAGTGGCGCTGGCTGCTGGCTGTGCAGGTCCCACTGCCCAGCCAGGTGGGGTGTTTCTACCCCAAGAGCAGTGCAGGGGCCCACTGGTGCCCCCGTCACACCTGCGTCACACCCCTGTCACACCCTGGATGGGGTCTTAGGTTCCTGGCACACAGACGTTTGCTGGATTTTGGAGGTAGAAGGCCCAGAGTTAGAGTTGAGACCCTCAAGGAGCATGCCCAGGGCCAAAGCCTCCCCTGAGGGCATGTCCCCACAGGGCACGGAACAGCAAGGAGGGGGCCTCCTGGGCCCTCGGATTGCAGGGCGGCCCGGGCAGGATGAGCCTGCGCCGTGGAGTCGGGGCCTGTGTCTACCTTGGCTCCGCCGGGGAACCGCTGAGCGACCTCGGGCAGGCTGCTGCCCTTGTATGGGCCTCAGTTTGTCACCTATGCCACACTGGTGCGGGTCCTGCCCTCCTGCCACCTCCCGCGAACGTGAGTCTCTCAGACTCATGGCTGTGTTTCCCCGCAACCCCCGCCCCAGCCTCAGCTCCTCAGCCAACACCAGGGATGCCACAAATCCTGCGGATGCTAGAACAGGCCGAGTGGCAGGGCTGATGGTCCCACGCCCTGGGCAGGCTTCATGTCTGGCTGTTCCTGTTTCTCTCTGCATGGAGAAGCTGAACAGACCAGTGCCTGGGGAGTTGTGGAGGCAGGGCCACAGCATGGTCTCTCATGCAGGGCCCTGCTTTGGAACCTCCAGGAAGACTGTCGAAAATGCAGAAGCCCAGGCCCCACCGCCAACTGCCCGGAGGAGGCCTGGTGCTGCGTGCTCTGGGCCCAAGCTTCCTGAACAACTGACACTCAGCTGGGAGAGTGTGCTCTTAGCAGAGATCGTGGGGAGCCCAGGAGGAGGCCCTGGCCTCGTCCCGGCCCCGAGCACCCACTTTTACCTCCAGAGCCCTGGATTCTGGAGGCTTCAGGCATGCCAGAGCCGGCTCTGGCTTCCCACAGAGCTAGGTGTAGCGATGGCCCTGGACCAAGGCAGGCTTGGCCTGGAGCTCCCGGCTCGGATCCGTAGCCCCGGGGCGGCTGCTCGTGAGGACCCAGTGCTTCAGGCCGAGCGGCTGCTGCCGGTGGCCCTGACTCCTGGTCTCAGGCCACCGGGGCAAAGGTCCACCGAGGATGGCCCGCGGCCCATCCTCCTCCCAGCCTCCCCTGTTGTCCGTTCCTCTGCTCCTGCTGTTTTCACTCTGTGTCTTTTCCTGTCCCATCTCTTCTCCTTGTTTTTCCAGAAAAGAAAGTCCAGTTCCAGCGTTCAGTTAATGGTGAGTGTCTGCCGTCTCCCAGACGGGCCTCGACCCCTCGCTCCCTGGCTCCTGCCTCCCTCCTGCAGGCTGCACTGGGAACCCGGGCGGGGAGAGAGTGCTCAAGGCGTGCTTGGTACGTGTGCCTTGTGCGACCACATGTGTGTGTTGTGTGTGTGTGTGTGTGTATGTTGTTTGCGTGTTTCTGTTGACACGTCCAACTCCATGGCCCAGACCAGCAGGCCAACGGCAGAGCTGAGACCTCCCTCGGGCACGGAGGCGGATGCGAGCCCAGTGCCACGTCCCGCCCTCGGCTTCTCGCTTCCCCTCCTCCACTGCCCCTCTGCTCCGGAAGTCATCTCAGGGCTTGGTCTGTGCTAGGGTGGGGCGAGGTCTGGCCAAAGTCACAGGCACCATGGAGGCACCTCGGGCTGGGTGTGGGCTACGGGCAGAGGGGCTGCCAGCCCTGCCTCTGCCGAGGGCACCGGGGGTGGCACGGTGGCCCATGTCCCTCTTCTTCTGGTTCCGTTCTGTCTCACTCACTCCTGTGATTTTTCTCCCCTCTGAAAAGCCTGCCTCTCTCACACTGGGCCTGCCCGTCTCTCTCTTCCTTCCCTGCCAGTGTGTGCATTCCTTCCCCACTCTGTGACGGCTGCCACGGTGTCTCCCTGCTCTTCCATCCCCCCACCCATCTTTGCTCCCATGCGCAGAAAGGAGCCAGGAGCCCTGGCCCAGGAAAGCCAGACCCCCACCCCCACCCCGCAGCCAGCTCCTGCCCCTCCCCAGCCACCTGCTCAGCTGGGCCCTGCCCCTGCATAGGCTGGGAAGTCGGACAGGGCTTTCAGTGCGACGTGGACGGCTCGGCCTGCAAGGCTCACAGGGACCGGGCAGCTGTGGCGGCCCCAGGCCGGCCATGCCTCGTCCTGCTGTCAGCCAGGCCTCACCGCCGCCCGTGTTCTCTTTGCCAGGAATCTTCGGAGAGCACCAACACCACCATTGAGGATGAAGACACCAAAGGTAGGGAGGGGCCTCGCCTGCCGCGCCTGGGTCCCTGGACGCCCCTCACTGACAGCCCCCAGTGCCCGCCTCGCTGCCTACTCCTCCGCCAAGAGCCTCGCTTTGGCTCTTCACGGACGGGCTACCCTGTAGGGTGTGGTTTCCCCGCGTGTGTCCTAGAACGCCCGGCCGCACGTCGGTGGGGCTTGCGTCTCTGCTAGTGGAGAGGTTCTGTGTTGATCTTAAGGTGTGTGAGAGAAAGTGTGAACGTAACGCGGTCAAGTCCCACACCTATCCTAGCGGTGTAAATTTCCCTCTTAAGTGTTTGTGAGCTTTTTTAAGAGGGAGTCGATTTTAAAAAGCACGAAGTCACGACAGCAAAGGCAGGCAGAAGAGTCGAGGGCTCACGCAGCACGAGGATGGGAAAGTGCCGGGAACGCCGGGGCTCCTGCAGCTGCCGGCGGTCAGTGCACCCACAGACACTGGGGCTGTGAGGGAGCAGGCAACAGGAACAGGGAGAGGAGGGCCTCCCGTGGAACACGTGTGCTGAGCTGCACCTGTTACCAGTATTGCGCCTCTGCCTGAGTGCCACCACAACCTACGAGGTGGGGGCAGCCACAAGCCCAGCTCCACAGCACAGACAGCCTGAGCCCGGGGCTCCCACAGCGTGTAAGGCTGGGCTGGGGATTTGAACTCAGGCTGCCTGGCTCCAGAGCCTGGCTGGGCACCACCACGCTGGACGCCTCCACGTGTCTGGAAACGTGGGCTGGGAGCTCGGAGGGAGGAGCAGGAAGGGCTGACCTCAGAGGCATCGGCCACATCAGGCTGCCCTGCCGGTACCCGGGAGCCAGCCCTGTGTTCCCGCACAAACTCAGATGTCTGCACCCTCGGGCGTCTGTGATGCCTGGGGAGGGACTCCGCCGCGCCAGCTTAGATATTGTTTCAGAAGTTGAAATGGCCTGCCTTAGAAATGCAATGATATGGAAAAGAGCATTTAAAAATATATATTTTTATTTGAAAGGTAGAGTGACGAGAGAGAGAGAGAGAGAGAGAGAGAGAGACCCATCTCTCAACTGTTGGTTCATTCTCCCAAATGGCTACAACAGCCAGGGCTAGCCCAGGCCAAAGCCAGGAGCCCAGAGCTCTATCCAGGTCTCCTACATGGGTGGCCTTCACCTGCTGCCTCCCAGGGAGCACATGAGCAAGAGCCCAGATCAGAAGTGGAGGGGGAGGGGGAGGCGGCCCTGTGATGTGATGGACGAAGCTGTCACCTGCAGTGCCAGCATCCCATAAGGGCTCTGGTTCAAGTCCCAGCTGCTCCCTTTCTAATCCAGCTCTGTGTTATGGCCTGGGAAAGCAGTGGAAGATGGCCCAAGTCCTTGGGTCCTTGCACCCACGTGGGAGACCCGGAAGAAGCTCCTGGCTCCTGGCTTCAGATCAGCGCAGCTCTGGCCGTTGCAGCCATTTGGAGAGTGAACCAGGGGATGGAAGACCTCTCTCTCTCTCTCTGTCTGTCTCTCTGTAACTCTGCCTTTCAAATAAATAAATAAATCATTAAAAGAAAAAAAAAAGAATGTGGCCTGGCCCTGCACAGGTGGCCCGGGGCTGCCCCTGGGGCTACCACAGGAGGCTGATTTGCTTTAGTACCAGGTCATGATGACAGTGCCCCCACTGTGGAGAGTGATCAGAAAGGGGCACCCGCAGGGTGGGGCCTGTCTTCCAGGACCCCTGGCTGAGGCAGGGGGCGGTCATGTTGTGTGATGTGGCAAATGGCCTGAAAGCCTAAATTGCAGACATGAGAAGTATCTGTGACATAATGAATGAACTGCTTTTTTCCCTGGGGTGGGTGTTGGGCACAGCTGTCCAGATGCAGCTTGGGATGCATAGTAAAGGGCCTGGCTTTGAGTCCCCTCTCCATTTTTTTTCCCCAAAGATTTATTTATTTGAAAGGCAGAGTTACACAGAGAGGGAGTGGGAGATCTTCCATCCGCTGGTTCACTCCCCAAATGGCCGCAATGGCTGCTGCTGGGCTGATCCGTAGTCAAGAGCCAGGAACTTCTTCCTGGTCTCCCATGCAGGTACAGGGGCCCAAGCACTTGGGCCATCTTCTACTGCTTTCCCAGGCAGATTAGCAGGGAACTGAATTGGAAGTGGAGCAGCTGGGACTCGAACTGGTGCCCAAATGGGATGGCAGTGCTGTAAGTGGCAGCTTAATTCACTACATCACAGTGCTGCCCACCCCTCCCCTGCGAGAAGCAGCTTCCCCCGCTACACCACAGCACCGCAGGCCACATCCTGAGCCCCGCAAGTTTGGTTATCACAGTGCGTGCTGGCCCGGCCCTGGGGACCCCTGCTCCACAGGACTGTGGCTCACCAGGACGCTGTGCTCCCGAGAGGTTCCCCAGGGCATGAGCCTCACTATCCTAGCGGTCAGTCAGGCTCCGGGATTTGCCTCGGAGCTGGGCGGCACCATGCTGGTGAACCAGCTGTGTATTTCTTCACCAGGGTCTGTTTGCTGGGTGACCCTGGACAACTTATCCAGCCTCTCTGAGTCTCAGACTCCTCCATAATCCAAGGGCCCAACTTCAGAGGCCTGTGTTGGGGCCACGGAACGGGAGGAAGCCCGAGGCGTGTGCAGCATCTGGCACGTGGTAGCTGCTGGCTATGTTTCTTTTTCTAAGTGACCGTTCATGGTCGAATGACAGGGAGCCCCGTGGCACGTTCTTGGAGCATCTATTTTACGTAAGGATGCTTTTAACACCAATATTGATATATGAAGCATCCCGAGAACTATTTGAACAGCATGCAAACTGTGCGTGTGCTATTAATGCAAGACAGGAACTATGAGAGACACCTTCTGCCTCCAGGGATGGCCGCAGGCTCCAGGTTCGAACCCCGCCTTTGGGAAGGTCCTCCGCATCCCAGGGCTGTGGCGCGGGCAATCCCTGAAGGGCTGGATTTGAATTCCCTGTGCCCCGGCCCCAGAGAGGAATGTGAGGCGTGCAGAAGAGGAGGTGTGGAGAGCCAGTGACTGCAGGTGTGGGGGCCCTGTTCCCGCTCTTATTTTCTCCATCTTCAAAAATTTGTATTATTTATTTGAAGGACTGAGTTAGGGAGGAAGAGACAGAGAGAGAGAGAGGTCTTCCATCCCCTGATTCATTTCCCAAATGGCAGCAACAGCCAGGTCTCCCACGCGGGTGGCCGGGACCCAAGCAACTGGACCATCTTCTGCTGCCTTCCCAGGCCATCAGCAGGGAGCTGGATGGGAAGTGGAGCACCCGGGACTTAAACCAGCACCCATAGGGGCTGCTGGCACTGCAGGTGGTGGTTTTACTCTCTGCGCTAGAGGCCGTGTGTTGTGGCAGAACTGCTGGCCCAGCCGGGGACTTCCTGTGTGGTGGGGGAGAGGAGCCTCGGCCTCCCCGAGCCTCTCCAGGCCTCAGGGAAGGCATGCTGTTTCCTGGTGTTAATGTGTTAAGTCTTCTTACCCAGTGAGACTGGCAGCTGCCGCGGCAGACTTGGGCCTAGCATTAAAGTTAATGAGAAATGTCATCCTCCGGGGATGAGAAAGGCAAGGGACATGAATATTTCAGAGTGCCTCTGGCTGCACACACAGGCCCCTGGCCCTCTGGGCAGCACACGGCTCTGCCCAACCCCTCTGAGCAGCTCCCTGAAAAATTCATTTCTTCTCTGACCAAAAGAGCTGGCTCCAAATCTGGGCAGAGCCATTCTGGACAAGATCGGTCAGGAATGATGTTCCCATCTCAGCCTGGTCATGCTGTGTGATCTTGAGGGACTGTCTTAGCCTCTCTGGGCCTCAGTCCTCTCGTCTTTCCTGGCAAAGAAACGCCAGAGGTTGCTACTGAGCAGCTGCTGGACAAACTCCTTGCACAACAAGGGGGCGCTGCTGAGAGCATGGATAGGGCCCAGCCTGGAATATAGCTTTCTCCAGGTCTAAGCAGCATGAAGTCCCCAGATCCTAACAAGGTGAGGGAGATTCCTGTCCATTAAGGCTTTCAGTGTTGGCACATGAGGTGTCCTGGGTGGCTGGAGGCACAGGCTGCATTTACAGGGTGCAGTGTCCAGTCCAGACATGGGGAAGGGATGGAGAGTGCCACCCCAGAACTGGCCTTCTGCACGATTCCGGCTGCCCCGAGCCCACGAGGGCCCACTCAGAGATGGATCCAGGCAGCTCAAGGACCCCAGAAGAGTGAATGGCGACCCTGTCGCAGGACATGGAGCCCACACGCAGGAGGAGCCCTGGCTAGGGTGAGCAGCCAGGGCTTAGAGGAGCAGGTGCTCACTCAGGGCCCCGGGAGGCAGCAAGACATCCAGAACGACAGCCAGGGGCAAGTGGGAGGAAGGCAGCGGTGGAGACTGGGAGGGCTGGCCCACCGTGCAGGGGCTGTGCGGGGGCCACGCGAAGACGGCTGGGAAGCGGCCCCTGCTAGCTGCAGTCTCACGGCTTCCTCGGGCGCAGCTTCCCATCCCCACACGGCCAGATGATAACAATCACTCTCCCTTTCATGCACTGCCAGGCGCTGCCCTAAATGCTTTGCACGCGGCCTGGATGTTTACGTAACTGAGCTGGTAGAAAGGGCTTGCAACAGCAGCTGGCTCCGAGCAAGGACCACCTCTGCGTCAGCTATTTCTATTGACATAGCCCTGACTCGCTCGGGCCCCAGAACAGCTCTGCGGGGCGAGGATTATTAGTCTCTCCATTATGCATGTGGGGAAACGCAGCCACGGAAGTCCTTTGCCTCCCAAGGACACACAGCTCTGGAGTGGCAGAGCTGGAATCCATGCCCACGACTGCTTTGCCAGTCTCCCCGGAAGCCGGGTCCTGCACTCCTAGGGACGCAGGGGACCAGGTATCATGGGCAGTGAGCAACAGCCTGCAGGGGACAGGCCAGGGAGCACAGGCTTGTGGACTGGCAGGTGGGAGGGGGCCCCAAGTTTTTGCACAAAGGGCATGGGAGGTGGCACAAGTCCCTGCCACCCGCCAGGACCACGTGGGTTTGCCCCAGTTGTCCCTGGATTCCACGTGGGAGCTGCCGGAATGCGCCGGCCTCTTGCTTCCCCTCCTGCATCTCAGCTTCCAGGAAGCAGGGCAGGGTTGACCAGGAGGCCAGGTCCTGAGCACCTAGGGCCCTAGAGGTCCAGACGTCCCGGGTGATTCCCAGGGTGGGGTGTGGTGGGGGCAGGGCACAGAGCCCCAGCCTGATTTGGAATGTGTTTATTCATTTGTTTGTGCCGTGTATACGTATCGAGGGCTGCCTCTGCTCCAGCCCTAGGCAAGGCCTCAGCGAGCAAGGGGAACTGGGCAGCACCCAGGGTCTAAAGGTGGGTTTATTCCCAGCCCAGGTGCCTCTGATCGGCCAGGAGAGCGAGGATGGGTGGGTCACCACGTGACCGACACTGAAAGGTGCTCGCTCCAGCTGTTGAGCACTTAGGATGTTCAAGGGCTGCGCTGAGCACAGGTGTGGCCAGTGGGGTGGGCTTGGGGGCTGCAGATGCTGGTTGGGGTCCCAGCTTCACCAGGGCCACTATCTTCTCGCTGCTTCCATTGGCTCACCTGTGACAGGAGGCAGCGCTGTGCCGCGAGGCTTTGCCCCTGCAGGTTAAGCACACAGCACAAGGTCCAGCACACTCGCTTGTGCGTCTGCTCTGTAATGGAGGCCTGTGGGGGCTGGGCCTGTGTCGCGCACAGCCGAGGTGGGGCGAGGGCACACCTCCAGGAGCTCATACTTGAGCCGGGGAAGAGGCGAGCAGGCAGCCGCTTGGGGTGAGTGTGGACAGCTGGGGGGTTAGGTCCCGAGGTCCCACGGGAAACGCAGGCCCTGCGTGTCATCTCTGCACCTGCTGGGTTCCATGTCGTGCAGCAAGGCTCAGCCCCTCACTGACGTCACTCGGTTTCCCCAGTAGTTGGACACAGGGGCTGAGTCCCGGGCCTCCGAGGGGTCTTCCAGCCCCAAGGTTCTGTGATTCTGTCTTCTTCGGGGCCAGAGGCGAGCTCCAGGCTTGGGCAGGGGGCAGGTTGGTGGAGGAAGAGGCCGGTGAGGACCTCTGCCAGGCTGGGACTCCCAGACCGAGGGCCGTGCAGACCTGGCCTGATACTGTTCCTCTGCCTTGCCTGGGGCTGCTCTGGGGCTGAATCTCTGAGCCTGTGGGGCAGGGAGAGGGGGCCTGCACCCAGGAGACCCTGTTAGGCTGTGCCGGGAGCCTGGACACCTGGCTGCCAACTCCTTCCTGGCTGAGGCTTGGTCACTCAGGTGCAACACAGAGCAAGCTGGCCTGAGCCCACCTCCCAGGTGTGTGAGAGGGGAGGATGACAGAGCCCCTGGGCCTAGGACTGGGCCGCAGGTAATGGGTACCTACCCGTGTGCCAGGCTTTGTCCCACCCGATAGCAACTCTGTCATACCTTTGTATGTCATACCTACAAATACCTGTGTAGGCCACAGTTAGGCTGTGTGTAAGGACCTGGGTCGAGAAAGAGCTGTCTGGGATGGCTTTGTAGGAATCAGAGAGGCTGGTGTTCCCATTTCACAGATGGGAAAACTGAGGCTCAGAACGTCTCACACCTAATGAGAAATCTGACAGGAAGACCATCCGCTGCTAGTGTGTCAGTGGCAGACAGGGGAGACCCAGGAAAGGCCCTGGATTCATTAAGCCTAGAATGTTCTGGCCAGCTCGGTGTCTGATGGCTATTGGCACCCAGTGGAGCCCCAAGTGCAGTGGACGGGGAGCACTGAGATGTTCCTGGGCTCTTTGTGACGGTGCCAGGGTGGCTCCTGTCTTGATGCACAGGGCAGAGCGATGTGGTAGGGTCACAGATGCTGGAACCAAGGGCCCTGGGGTGGCACGCAGGTGAAGACTGCCCCTCGCCTCCGAGGGCGCCCCGACACCTGGTCCCGGGAGCCGAGCCTGTGTTTCCTCTGCGAGTTGAGGGTGGCGATGCCCCGTTACCCAGGACCACGCCCGCAGGCCCGAGCCGAGCCGTGCGGGGCTCGTGCATCCTGGACGAGCCCGCAGGAAGCGGTGGGGGGTGCTTCGTGACTGTCACTCTGTTATTTCTGTGTCCCCTCCTGCCTTGCAGTGCGGAAACAGGAAATTATAAAAGTGACAGAGCAGCTGATTGAAGCCATAAGCAATGGAGATTTTGAGTCCTACACGTGAGTCAGCTGGGCTCGTCCTGCATGGCCTGCCTGGGTCGCGGCTCCGGGGTGCTGCTGGCTGGCGCTGGGGTCCTCGGCGGCGGCCCTCCGTCACTCACTGTGCATGTGCTGGGGGTCGCACCGGCCTCATCCTTCTGTCTGGCATTCAGATGTGTGCTGCGCCCGAGCTTGCTGCTCTGCCTCCCCCTCACCTCCTGTTCCCCGGGAGGAGCTCCAACAGAACTCCTGTGCTTCCCCACGAGGGGGTGGGCCTCCTCGGGAGATGAGCTGGGAAGGAGAGGAGGGAGGCAGGCCTCACCCTGGACCTGCTCAGAGGGGCTGCCAGGGGTGAGCACTCCCAGGGTGTGGACCTTCAGTGAGCAGGATGAACAGAAGTATCTCCCAGTGCAACCTTAGATCCTCTAGGGAATACAGCAGCCTCCCCCCCACCCCCCAAGCAAAGGGAACAGGTGTTATCAGATGGGCATCCCATCCACACCTACACTGGCCTTTGGAGCAACAGCTGTGTGCAAGGGCTGAGCAGAAGCGCCACCTGGTGGTCACTCGTAGCCTCCCCAGTCTGGCCTAGAAGCAGGCAGGCCCTCAGTTGGCCCCAAGGAGAGCAAATATTCCGGGCTTCAGCCTTGAGTCCTGGGTCTGGAGACCCCATGTAGGCTCTTTGGTGGCAAGCTAAGGCAGATGATCCTTGCTTTTTGGGTTAAGGTGAGCTGGGAAAGCCCAGCTGGGGTCCGCTCTGGGGCAGCCTGATCCTGGTTTCTCTGCAGGAGCCGGCCAGGTGCATACTAACTGTGGGAGGGCTTTCAGCGGCGGTGGGGGCAAAGCCCCTAGGCAGTCGCCGGTTCTCTCTGGAGGAATGGGGCGCTTGGAGGGTGCATGTGAGAAGCTGAGGCCAGCATGAGCGTGTGTGTGCATGCAGTTGTGCAGATAGGCGCAGACCTGAGACTGCACAAGGCGCGTGCACAGGTGTGTGTGCACGTGGGAACCAGGCTGCTCGCCTGGTCTTGCAACCACCCCTGGAAAGAGTTAAGCTGGGGTATGTCATGCCACTGGCTCTGGAAAGATACAGCCAGGGAGCGAGGGAGAGGGAGGTGGCCCCTGTGGGCCCCAAGCCCCCTGTGCTATTTCTAGGGGCCCTGGAGAAGCCTCCCCTCTGTATGATGTCACTTCTGGGCGCATCCACAGCTCACTCTGGGTTCTGAGCCCTTGCCACGACCTCCGAGCCTGTGGTGCCCATGCGTCTGGTCTGCTGTAACCTGAGTGAGCCCCTTCTTCTCGCTGGGCCTTCATTTCCCCACACGGATGATGGTGGTCCAGCAGAGGGTCTCTCGGTCCCTTCGGTCCAGGAAAAGCAGCCAGATGCCTCCCAGAGAGGGGCTCCTTCGTCTCCCGTATGCTCAGCCTGGGAGGACAGTGGAGCTGGAAAGGACTTGAGCATCCCGCTTGGTCTGAGTGTAGCCCCCCCCGACCCCGCCTCCTGGCTTAATCAATCTGCAGAACTTGAGGTGGCAAGATCTCCTGCCCTTGGCCCTGGGAGAAGTCTGGGGAGGGACCCCCCAGAGAGCACAGAGTGAGGACAGTGCACCTGCCAGGGCCCTGTCTGGCTCGGCCAATGCTGCACCTGCTGCCTATTCCAGGGGTCTCTGCTTCCATCCTGGGTGGGGAGCTTTGCTTGTCCTGGGGTGTGTTCTGTCCCTGCTCCACTGCTGTTGAAACAGGGGCCCGTGTTGTGCCACAGATGACCCCATACACCTGGGGATGGGCAGTTCAGTGGCTGCTGGTCGCAGCTGGCTATCTGGGTCTCCCGGAAGACACAGCCCTGCACGGCGGGGCGGTGAGCTGAAAAGGCGCAGCCAGGCCCAGGCTCTGTCTTCCCTTGCCTCATCTCATGGAAGAGGAAGCCAGGGCTGCAGCTGACCGCAGGGAACCCTGGCAGGTGCACACCTGGGAAGGAAAAAGCCCGCCCAACCACCCACTGGGAAGACAAATTAGGAAAAGCCCCCTCTGCGTCCGCTGCACTGGGCCGGGGTGCGAGGCGCAGGGCAGACAGCAGGCAGAACTTCCTCCCCGCCAGCGCCCTCCTGCGCGCCACGCCTCTGCGCACCCCTCAATGTGCCTTGCTTCACCAGATTAAGCTGCTTGCCTGGGGGCTCGTAAGCACTCAGGGGCAGCGCCAGGACCCAAGCCCAGGCTTCCTGGGTGTGGACAGGCACCATGCGGTCAGCAGTGCCCCACTCTTCCGAGTTGGCCAGCCTCTCCCCCTGCGCCAGCCCCCGACCCCCTCTCTCTGGCTTCCTCTCCCCAGGAAGATGTGCGACCCCGGGATGACGGCCTTCGAACCCGAGGCCCTGGGGAACCTGGTCGAGGGCCTGGACTTCCATCGATTCTATTTTGAAAACTGTGAGCAATCCCTTCTCTCTGGGGTGCCTGTTGTCTGCTCTCGTTCCGTGTTCCGCCGGCTGGCACAGCAGGGTGGCAGGCAGGGCCCCAGGGGCGGCTCAGGAGCCAGCGAAGAGGAAGCTTCTGTGTGGACAGCGGTTGGTACCCTCTTGATTCCCTCTCCTAACCCTGGCCTGTACACTGCTAGCTGTCCCTCCTCTGGCTGTGGGTGGGGCTACCGGGGGCGGGACATCCTGGAGGCCAGGGGACATGAGTGACAAGTCCTCCTACCCTCGGCCCGGCCCAAGGAGGGGGGCAGCCTGGGGAGGGGTCTCTTGGTGGAGAAGAGAGCTTTCCCATTGGCTCTCCCGCCTGTCATGGGCCCCGCCCTGCCTGGGGCCCCCCAGGTGCCCAGCCAGTGCCTGTGCATGGGCCCACTGTGGGTGCACACTTGGGGAAGGAGGACAGGAAGCTCACGCTGCTGTGCCCCTGCCTGTGTGTCCAGGTCTCTGTCCTGCGTGTGTGTCCTCCCTGGGCCTCTCCTCCTCAGGGGAGACCCCGGCGGCTTCGCAGTCAGGGGCTGGCAGGCGGCCGAGCCCGGGCCTCACCGAGGGTGCTTTTGGCCTGTGTCTGTGTCTCACCTAGGCCCACAGGTGCAGAAGCCCAGCATAGGACTGGGGGCAGAACAGAGAGGCGGGAGGTCCGGGGTTCCCCCAGGGTGAGGGGCTTGTGCCCCTGAAGCGGCATGGTGGGCACCCGAGGAGGGAATCAACTCAGCAGGTGCCTACCTGCCTGCAGCTTCCTCACCCCCGTCCCCACCAGCTCCCTCCCAGGCGAGAGCAGAGAGCAAGGGCTGCGGGATTGCCTGGGGAAGGCCGTGATCTTCCGTGGTCCCCCTAGCTCGCCAGCGATGGGGCGGGAAGTTTTCTCCTAAAGTAAATTCACGTGCATTAGCACAGCAAATGGATCCCGGACAGGATGTGAATGAAGTAGTGCGGAGGGGACCCGTGTACGGTAAAGGTGACAGAGTGACCCTCAAGTGGCCGCTGTCACTCGAGTCCCACACTTCCTTGCGCAGAAGGGGAAAATGCAGCCCTGGGAGGGAAGCGACTTGTCCAGAGGCACCTGCCTGCCTCTGGCGTCCTCTCCCCAGGCCACCTGCGCCGTCCGCGTGGCGGCAGCCCCCGGCTGGGAGCCGAGGCTCTCACCCGCATCCCCCCAGACTGAGCTTCAAGAGTGTGGAGCCGAGAGCCCACCCCCTTGGCAGCGGTGAGGAAGGAAGCTGTGTCTTTATTTCATAGCCTGAACTCGGAGCCCCCAGAGCTAGCGGTGGCGATGGGATTCTCATGGGAAGACAGCTGGCCGCACCGCGCAGGGCCCTGTCGCCCTGAGCCCCCGCCACCCCACAGCCGGCCCCTGGGGGGTGGGCGCTGGTTGCCTCGTGGACTCTGCAGTCCCCACGAAGCAGAATGGAGACCGGGCGGAGGCCAGGCTCCGAAGGCCTAGCGAGTGCAGAAGGAATACAGCCCCCATCGTCCACCCTCCCCACAGGGGCTGCCGGAAGCCTGCCACATGGTCAGGGGGCCCAGCAGTGGCGTGCTGCTTTCCTGACAAACGCCCAGCCCGTCCCCGCGCGGCAAGGCCCAGTCCCTCCAGCATGCCGAGCCGCAGGCCCTTCGGGGGGTGTTCTAGACGGCCCTAATCCAGTCCCTCTGCGACACTGACATCAGGGGGTTGCACTGCATTCCTTTGAGGCATCGGCCTGTTGTGGGGCAGCTTGCGACAAGTCACGTCGCCTCTCTGGACTTCAGTTTCCGTGTCTGTGAAATGGGTGTATTGCAGTTTGGTAGCCTTGGGTCTCTGGCCCTGGAGGCTGTTGGGAACACTTATGGAGGCCTCCTCCTGCATTTTGTAGCAGGGCCGGGGCTTGACCTCTGACCCCTGAGATGGCGGCGCTTCTTCTGTCTGCCCCAAAGCCCAGAATGCCTAGTCTGATTTTACAGGCCTGAGACCCGGTGGTTTTACTCGTGTACCCGCAGCCTAGGTGTGAGGGGATTGTGCTGTTGGGGGGTGGGGGTGGGGTCACCAGGTGCTCTCTGCCATCCAGGGAAAGAACAAGGCGTCTTACAGTCTCGGGGGAGGGGATGCCCAGGGGAGCTTGTTAAGATGACAGACGCCTGAACTAGGGGGTCCAAGGGAGGTGCATTTTAAGTCTGCTCTGCACAGGGTTTGCGTCGGCATCCGGCCACACTCAGGGAAGGCTCCGGGAGCCTCTCTGGAGTGGGGTCCTGAAGCCCCCTGCCCAGCCCTCCTGGGCCACTGTGCCTTTGTTTCTACCTTGATGAGAAATTTGAGAGTCTCTAGAGCCAACATCACGGTGACGATGACAGTGGTGGCGGCTCACACTTCCCAAGGGAGGAGCCGACTTCTGGGACCGTTGTCAATTCTGCCATGGGTTATACATTTTCCCCAAATTCTGGGAAGGCTGTGAGCTCCCTGCATCACCACTAAGGCAACCCTTACATGCTCAGGGCTCTGAGACCCCACGATTCTAGTGCTCCCCCTGGTTTCCGTAATTCTACGGGAGAGGGAGGTGCAAACAGGGAACGCACGAGCCACTTCTGGGCTGCAGGTACATTCCCCGTGGCCTGCGTGATGTTGCAGTTAGATGCCAGGTAACGAGAAGACTTTCCACCTAAAAACCCAGATTTTCAGATTGTCTGGGGAGAGGCAGAAAGGGTCCTACTTACCTGGCAGCCCTCAGGAAGCTGTGGACGGGGCTCCCTCTCTCGATGGGACGTGGTGTTCTGCTTACCACAGTCCCCCCACTCGCTGTCGCCTCCCCAACTAGAGCCCAGGGCCTGTTGTCACTGCGTGTCCCCTCATTTACCTGGCTGTACGGTCCCTGCAGGACCTGGGCCTGGGCCTCTGTCCCACCTCATGTGGTTCTGTAACCGTCTTGGCTCTGTTCTCCAGTGTCTAAGAGTGATCTCAGATCCCATTACCCGTGTTTGAGAAATTCGGCGGGTCTGAAAGCCGTGACCTCTGGCCATCAGCAGCTGCCCTTAGCTCCCAGGTGGCCCAGCCCAGCCCCAGAGGTGGCAGGGCCTCCGCTGAGAGGGCCGTGGGAGCTGAGGAAGGGGAGGCGGGGAGGCAGGCGGCCCCCGTTGTATCTCCTCTGCCCCTCCCATTCCCACTCCAGTGTGGTCTCGAAACAGCAAGCCCGTGCACACCACCATCCTGAACCCCCACATCCACCTGATGGGCGACGAGTCGGCCTGCATTGCCTACATCCGCATCACGCAATACCTGGACGCGGGCGGCATCCCCCGCACCGCGCAGTCGGAGGAGACCCGCGTGTGGCACCGCCGGGACGGCAAGTGGCAGATCGTCCACTTCCACAGATCGGGGGCGCCCTCGGCCCTGCCGCAGTAAGGGCCCCTCCCTGCACCCACAGACAGCCGGGGTCACCGCTGGCAGCTGCTCAGAGGCTGCAGGGTGGGGCGGGGTGGGGCAGGGTGGGGGGGACTGGGCCCACAGGTGCTGCCTAGGGCCAGAGTTGGGCAGGCCCTGGGGGGAGGCAGCAGGTGGATGGGTTGCATGGTACCCACTGTGTACACCGTGTCTCACAGCTGAAGGACCGGGCAGGGGTCACCGCGTGGCTGCGTGGCAGAGACCCACTCTTTGTTCGTGGAATGTGGCTGCTGGTTCTCCCACTTGGATTTTGCTGGAATTCACCCCATCTCACCCCACCACCGCCGCCGCCGCCACCATTGGCACCCCTGTACCTGCATCAAGAAAACCTGCTTGTCCACACAGCCATCCTGACTTCAGGTCCCCCGTGCCCACCTCTCACTCTCGCTCCCTCCGCTGTGGGGGCAGGGCTGCCTCAGGCCTGGGTGTCCAGGCTGCTGGCCCCAAGGGCTCCCCAGCCCCACCCCCACCCCTGCTGTTGGCTGCTGGCCTTGCCTTGGCTGTTGGCTGGGACACCCCTCAGCTGTGTGTCCACCAGGGCTGGGGGGAGGGAGGCGTGCAGTGGCGAGGAAGGGGCAGCGGCCCACCCGTCTCGCAGCTCTCTCCTCTTCCAGGGGCTCCGGGGTAGGGCAGTGAACCCCACCCCAGCCCCTGGAAGCAGCTGCCTGCAGAAGAGAGCGGGCAGATGCCAAGAGCCCCTGCCTCAAACCGCCTCCCTACCTCTCCCCCGCCGGCCGACCTCGCGGTGGCCGCCCACCCGCGCCCCCGGTGGGAGCAGTGCCACCCTCTCAGGTGCCCCACTCGCCGCCTCCTCCTCCGCCTTCCAGAGCTCGCCTGCCCCCTCCTGGCCCCGCCCCCGGTCACCCTGTCCCCAGCAGCCTCGTCTTGCTTGGGGGGCACAGAACACAGCGTCTCTGTACCGTGTCACTCCCACTCGGACCGCATGCCTTTTTATAGCCAAATTCTGTGTATTTCGTAAAGGGATCTCGCGTTAATGGCTATCTGTGCTAACTACACCTCTGAAACGTTGTGAGGAGGACTGGGCTGGGCTGGGACGAGGTGGGGGGGTGGGAGGAGGGGGGAGGGGAGACTTTTTCTGTTCTGGTTTTGTTTTTGTTTTGTTTTGTTTTTTTGGTCCTCTCTGAGGTGGCCCCTGTTTCTGGGGCCCAGGACGGCTCAGCTCCAGAGAGAACCTCGCTGCCATTGTGGCCGCAAGGTGAGCTGACGTCACAGTTCGTCTGGGGACCCCGGGACCCCCAGACACCAGCGCTGAGGAGGGGCAGGCTAGCTGGGGGCGAGCATCTGGGCTCTGCTTCCCTCCCAGATGGGGGTCCGCCCTCGTGCACGTCCCGGGACGCTGGGCAGCCGCCCCAGGCATGGCGCTCCTGCGCCTCATCCCTCGGCCTTGGGTTCAAGTTTGTGTCCTTGCTCTCCTCCGTCTCCCTGCCCCGGGACTGACTCTGGGGAGGCGTGGCTTGGCATCTCCATGGGACCTCCTGTCTGCACCGTTTCTTTGCATGACTTTATATGCAGTAAGTATGTTGCAAAAAAAAAAAAAAAAACCGAAAACAAGAAAAAAACTCAACAAAACCACACGTTCTGGACAAGAGACCACTGAGGCTGAGCGCGCAGTGCCGGCTCGGGGTCCTGTAGCTGCCTCTCCGTGCTCTGGCCTCTGTGCGGCCATGTTCTGCCGGCACGAGGTGCAGTCCCCTCTGAAGGGTTGGAGAGGAGGAGGAGTCACCCCCCTCCCCGGGCTATAGAGGCGGCGCCATCCCTGGACCCTCCTGGGTGTCCTTTGGCGTGGGACTGGCGAAGCCGTTTGGTCCAGAACTTTCTGAGGTTTCCAGATCACAAGCTACCCAGGGACAGGCGAGAAGCCCAGGCTGCCGGCCAGGAGAGAGGCGCCCAGGCCTCCCGTTGAAAGCTGGTCTGTCCCGGGCCTCTGTCCTCGGCACAGCCTGGGGTGGGCTCCTGGCCTGCTCTGGGCACAGAGGACTTCCCAGGAAGGCCCAGGGATCCCTTTGCCCTAGCGGCAAACCCGCCTGGCCCCGTCGTGGGCCACTGGTTCCCAGCGCTGTCCTCGGCTGCGTGTGGCCTTCAGATGTTCCTGAGGCAAGGTCTGGGCCCTTCTTCTGCCTCAGTTTCCCCGTCAGTTCAAAGGGTTAAGTGTTCTTAGCCAGACTGACGTCGTGGACACGTGTCGGGGCTCGGCGGGGCTTGTGGCTGCTGGCCCTGGCCAGTCCCGCCCCGCACCCACCTGCCCGTCACTCGCTGCTCAGCGGCCAGGGAAAGAGCAGCCGTATGCATGGAGCGGGCTGCCGTTCCCAGCGCTGGCCACCCTGCTCTGTGAGCTGGGCCAGTCTGCCCTGGGCCTGGATGACTTCCCTTCTCGGAGTGCAGGTCCCTACCCTAGGCTGAGATGGCCCCTACGGGAGAGGCCACCCCTGGGGGTGCGCAGCCGCCTGGCACAGACCCCAGGCACCCGGGGCGACCCTGAGACGCAGGCCCGGAGCCCACTCTCCCCAGGCAAACCCTGGGCTCCTGCAGAACACCCTGAAGATGCAAAAACCCCTCACTCCTGGCAAAGCCTGGGCTCCAGCATGCAAACTTGTGTTTACAGGAACGTGCCAGCTTGGTGCCCGCTTGGTGCCCGCCGGTGCGAATCCTGACCCGCGGCCTCCTGCCTTCCCTCCGAGGGAGACCCTTTTGGGGGGATGTGTTTGCCGGACTCCCCATGCTGGTTTCTTTGTTACTATTTGTTTGGGGGTTTGTTTAAGGTCTTTCTTTTTCTTTCTTTTTCTTCTTCTTCTTTTTTTTTTTTTAAATACGTGGCTGTGAACTTGAATGACCACTGCTCAAAAATTTCTGCTCTTGGGGGTGGGGCGGGGAGGGAAGATGGGGCGTCTGTTTTATTCTTGGTGTTTTCAGTGCAATAAATAGCTGCAAATTTCTGTGCACTCCCGTGGGAAGTATTTGCTTCCTGTCCCAGGTCTCCCGCGTGGACCAGTGTCCTGGCCTTCGTCCAGACTGGACCCCCTGGGGGCAGGTGCTCAAGGCGGAGCCAGTCACCGAGAGATTGCATCTGGACAGCGTGCCCTGGCCTTGGGATCGGGGCTGGGCGGGAGGCAGCTTCCTCCCAGGTGTGCCCTTCAGCAGGACAAGTGGTGGATAGGGGTAGCCCGGCTGATGGCTCTCTCTCACGGGGGGCAAGGTTCTTCTGCAGCCCCCAGTTTTCCTGGTACTTCGAGGATGTTACTCCAAAGCCCCCTGCCTCACCCCTTCTCTTCTCAGAGTCAAGCCTCTAGGCCTCAGAGCTCCTGAAAGTGGTTCAAAGAACAGGGGACAAGGGGCAGCAGGGTCTCTCTCCCCACCAGCACACCTGTGGGCCAAGTGCTTGGGGCGGGAGCCTCAGGCTGCAGAGTGCAGTAGCCTGAGTGGAGCTGCCCTCCCCTGGCCAGGTGGTGATGCGGAGGCTTTGCCCCTCGGCTGGCCGCAGGAGAGTGACCACCGGCCCCAGGATGCTGATGCAAGATCGTCAGAGCTAAAACCAGGACAGCCGCAGGCGGGCCAGAGGACCCTAAGTCACCCTAAGCCATGCCCCTCTCCGAGGTGTGGATTCCACAAGGCCAAGGGCACGAGCCCACTAGAGCCCACAGTCCTGTCTCCGGCCACCCAGGCCTCCCACTTCCCCACATCAGTGCTTTCCAGGCTGTGGCTGGTGTGGTCCCGAGGGGTGCCTAAGAGGGGTGCCCCTTGCATGTGTGAGGAACTTGGCAGTGAGAGCCTGGGCTGAGAGAGCAGAGATACCTGAGGGCCTGTGTTTGTATTTCACCCTGGAGCTGGCATACAGGGGCTCCAGGGCTTCTTCCAGCTCTGCCCTCACCTGGCACTGATTCAGCAGCCCAGGAGGTGCACAAAGGCTTGAGGGCTTGGACGGCCATTGCAGGTACTGGCCAGCAGGTGGCAGCACAGGAGCGTGTTACAGGCCCTCCTTGCCCTCTGTGCCGCTACCATGCTGATTTTGAGAAATAACATTGAATTCTCAGAAAGTACTCACTCCACCTAAAACACTGCCATTATCTCACAGGGGCTTGATGCATTATAGCTCACAGGTGCTTTCCCCACACATCCTGTCCCTGTTACAACAGCACTGTTAAAGATGACAATGACACTCAGGCCAGGAGGCTTCTCTAGGACACACCACTCACAGGCCTTGGTGTACCCTTCTCGAGCTGTCACGGTCACTCTCTTCATTCCCTGAACAGGAGCCTGTGCTGCTCCAGGGGCCCCGGGGTGGGGGCGGGCCGGGAGAGCTGGTCTCCCAGCCATGGTGAAAGCCTGTTCCGGGGGATGTCCTGCAGCTGGCTTGGTTCTGAGACGACTCCTCGGGTCTGGCCCCCAGGAGTCCCTGACACCGTCCCAGATAGCGAAAGACGCTCAGAGAATGAGCAGTCTATGCCGGCTGGGACGGGGGCGGGACCTGGCAGTGCAAAGTGCATGGAAGCCCGGAAGAGGGAGGGGAGGAGAGAGCCCGTGATGGGCTGGGTGGGCTCTGCGGAGATGCTCAGTGTGGGGAGCATGGGGTAAGGCAGGGGCTGACAGCCCAGAACAGCGGGGCTGCTGGCAGGGGGAACAGAGTAGGCTGAGGGGTCAGAGGGCAGAGGGAGCCCAGATGGGCTCAGACCTTCCAGGGTATGGGTGGGCCCCAGCAGGTGACGTGGCTCTCCCCAGCACTGGCTCACAGAGAACCTTGGGAAACGCCCCCCAGCAGGTGCCCGCAGGGTGGGGCAGGTGCGCTCATGCGGGAACTACCCTCCGTGCTCCACCCGGGGCTGCCAAGGTCTCTGGGGGCACTTCCTCAGGGCAGCCTGGCCCGGAGCCTCAAGTGGGGGAGGGGTGACGGGGCTGGAGCCAGGCCAGGCCCCCTGTCTCTCCGGGAGGAAGGGATGCTCACCACTCTCTCCCATGTGCCCTTGCTTGGGTCAGGTCCCCAACTGGGCCTCAGTTTCCTCCCTGGTACCACTATGAGCCCAGGGTCTCTGGGTGTGAGAGTCGGTGGGGGGAGCAGGCCAGGCACCAGGCAGGGGTCCCAGCAGCTGGCATTTCACTGGTATCCAGGTTTGGGAACCCTGCGTGGAGCGCCCGTCTCTGGTTCCCATGGTTATCTGCCACACCGCCCCACCCCAGGCTCCCCACTTCCCTGACTCAGCGAGCTCAGCAAAGCCTGTAGGTCCCTCCCCACCACCAACTCCCACCACTCCAAGCCCCAGAGCTCTCGGAGGCCCCGAGCGTGGTCAGCAGCACCAAGGCCAAAGCCAAGCCTGGGGCGCAGACCATCGTCTTGCCGTGCCCACTCCCACTCTGCACCCTCCTCCTGCTGCTGCTGGGAGAAAGCACCAGGGCTCCCAGCGACTGAGCCAGACCAAGGCCATCTCCGAGGAAGGGGTGCTGCCGCCCACCCCGGCGGGCCCACAGCACAGCCCTAGGCACCCTGTGGAGCCCACTGCTCTCCCCCAGCCCCTTTCTCTTCTGAAGGGCCAGGCAGGCTCAGCCTCCAAGGCACGTAGTGCTGAACCTGGCTCCATCTGGGTGCCCGTCAACGCCCCACTCGATGTGAACGCTGGCATCCGGCCAGAGCCTGGGCAGGAGCATCCGTGGGGTCCTCTGTGGCCCTCTGTGCAGGGATCCCCCGCCCCCCTGCTTTATACCGCGGATGCTGGGTGCCACAGATCCGAAGAGGCAGACTGGCCTTTGACCCGCAGACACGCAAGTCTGCCTGGGGTCCTCCTGGCTGCAGCTCCCTGGGGCTGTGGAACAAAAAGCATGGAGACTGAGGGGGCATGGGGTGTGCTCTGTCCCCGGGAATGGGGGGCAAGGCCAAGGCTGCAGGAAGTCACGTGGAGGCGTAGCCCAGGGGCTGCTGGCCAGGGACTGGCAGGGCAGCCAGCCCCGGGCTGGCCCTGGACCAGTGTCGGCTGGGCTTCAGGCCCACAGGGAGTAGCCTGGGGCTCGAGAAGCCGGACTTTCCATGAGCCAGCAGCAAAAAATGAGCCACAGACCCCGAGGCTCCACACCCAAGGGTCACGCGGGATCAGTGGCCTGCAACTCTTAACCCTTGGCTGATTCTACCCAGAGCCAATGGAAAACTGCCCAGAGTTTTGTTTTGCTTTTAAATGTATTTATTTGAGAGTCAGAGAGAGAGAGAGAGAGAGAGAGAGAGAGAGAGAGAGAGAGAGCGCGCATGCTCTCATCCACTGGTTTACGCTCCTAATGCGTGCAACAGTCAGGAGCTCCATCTAAGTCTCCCACATGGAGAGAGAAGGACCAAACTACTTGACCTATCACCACTGCCTTCCCAGGTACATAGCAGCAGGAAGCTGAACTTAGGAGCTGAGCCAGGAATCGAACCCAGGTACTCCAGTGTGAGACACAGTACCTTAACAGAGGCTTTAACCACCAGGCTAACCTGCCCCTGCCTGCAGCTTGCTGCTCCTAGGCACGAAGCCTTGAACCAGCTCGGAGGGGTCACTGGGGCAGCCTGGAGGTGGGGGAAATGCAATCTGCTGGAGGCGGTAGTGGGCTGTGGGTGGGGCTGGGGCCACGGACACACACAGACGTGTGCCGCGTGCCCACCGAGGCCAGGCCTGGGCTGGGGGCCTCACATCACTCCAGCCCAGGACGGTGCTGCCACAAAGGGGGTGTTGTCATTCCCCATGCTGCAGGGGGAAGAAACTCAGCCGAGAGGGGCAGAGTGGCCTCCCCGGGGTGGGGTGCGTGTGGCTGAACAGCTGCTGTGGCCCGGAGCTCCAGGCCAGAGTCCTGACCACACAGCCTGCGGAGCAGTGGGCTTGAGTCTGACTCCCTGCGGACTCCAGGAGTCCACCTCTGGTTGGGGAAGTGAGGACAGTGCCCGGAGGAGGGACCTAAGGATGCCTAGGATTCCAGCAGGTGGCAGCCAAGACAAGGGGGCAGGCTGGAAAGCACTGGACCATGCTGGGCTACAGTATGGAAATGAACTTGGCTGTGGGAACACGGGTCATGGGCGGGGGAACTGAGGGACCCCTAGGGTCTGCTGACCCTTGCCTGACCCTGGGACTCTGGCTGCCCCCCAGTGGTGTGAAGAGGAGCCCTCCCCCCTGCTGCCATGTTTGTTGGAAGTGACTGCAGATGGTTCAGGCCCTGGCGTCAGCGGTTCCCAACTCCCAGGGGAACACCCAGGCCTGCAGGGCCCCGGGCACCTCCACGGCACCCCTGCCTCCCAGGGCCGCTCGCTGCTCAACCCCATGTCTGCAGAGTAGCCGGCCAGCACAGGGAGGGCACAGGTCCTGAGTCCCACTGCTTCCTGTTTTCTTATTTTTAGGACTGATTTACTTGAAAGGCAAAATGACAAAAAAAGAGAGGCAGAGAGAGAGAGAGAGAGAGGTCTTCCATCCACTGGTTCATCCCCCAAATGCCTGTAACAGCCAGGGGTTCGAGCAGGCTGAAGCCAGGAGCCAGGAGCTCCGTCTGGGTCTCCCACGTGGGTGGCAGGGACCCAAGTACATGAGCCACATCCCGCTGCCCTGCTGCGTCCCAGGGCGCACATGAGCAGGAAGCTGGATCAGCAGAGGAGGTGGGGCTCACTCCCAGCACCCTGGTGTGGACGTCCCAGTCAGAGGCTCAGCCCACTGGGCTGTGAGCTCCGCCCATTTTACATCTTTTGAGTCAGTCGCCCACATTTCAAACTGGGAAATCTCTCGTAAACCTTCAGACTTCCGGCTGCTCTTCCCAAGCCAGGGGATCTGGCACCTGGATCCGAGGCTCTGAAGTCAGGCGTGCTTTCCTCTGCCCTGCCCCGCAGTCCCCACCGCACTCCCAGAGGGTCAGCTGTCCTGCTCACACCCACCGCTCTGCTCCCCACGGCCACTGGCCTTCCCCGCTGAGGGAGGAGGGGGCTGCCGCTGCAGGAAGTGCTGTCTGCGAGCAGTGGAAACGGAGGAAGCAAAGACTGGAAGACTGGGCCAGCGAGGGCAGCACGGGTCCACGGGCCAGGGCTGGGTGGGGTGCGGGTGGGGGCAGAGGAACAGAGGCAGGGTGCAGACCCCAAGACCCCTCTAGCCTCCCACTTGGGACTTGGGAAGAGAAGTCTGGTTTCTAGGGTCTTCCATTCCCAGACCCCTGGCTCAGCCAAGAGTCTGGGTCTTGGAGCACCCAAGACCACGGCCGCTGGCCAGTGCTGGGGCCCAGGGCGCCTCCTCCCACGCAGGATGCTGGGAGCAGGCCCAGTGCCAGGGACCTGCCAGCCAGTAGGGGGCAGCACCTGAACCGGGGAGGCCATTCTTCCAGCCACAGTCGTCTGCAAAGACAAGCCTTTCTGTCACCCAGATCCCCACACAGAGGGCTGCAGGGGGCATGGCCTTTGTCAGGGGGAATTTATTAATATCTCAATATGCCGCCCTTCCTTCCCACCCCCAATCAAAGCCTTTGCAAACACCTGGGCCTCGCATTTGAAAGGCCCTGGGACTCTTTTATATGACAAGGCCCTGCCAGGAGGGGGTGGGTGGAACCCGGAAATTCTACAGGCCTGGGAAACTCTTGGCTCCTCCCAACCTTGGACTTGGAGCTCCAGCCCTCACCTGCTTCCCAGACGGAGGGAGCTGGAGCCAGCAGGGGCCCCTGCAGGGGGTAGGGATATTCCCCACAGGACTCTGCCTGCCTTGGCTAGGTAGCCTTGAGCGAGCGCCTTCCTCTCTGTCTCCAACCTCCTCCCCCCTCCCCGCCACCACGCTGCCCTAGGGAAACCCACAGCAGGTGTGAGAAGCAAGCCAGGAGCGCACCACAACAGGAGACAGCTGAGCCCCAGCGGCCTCACCTGTCCAGGCGAGCTGCTGGTGCCCCATGCAGCCGCTTCTCGCTCTCGGCCGTAAGGAGTCAGGATCCGGAGGATGACCTCATTTGGTTTTATTAACAATCAACCAACACAGGACAGATGGGTTGGGGCGGCGTCAGGAGAGAGCCAGGGCCCCGGGCCCAGCTGCAGCTGCACGAGGGCTCCCTGCCCCCGGGGAGGGCCGTGTGCGGGAGCCCCGCTTAGGTACACCTGCACCCGCCCCGTCTACCGCGGGCTGCCTCTCTGCCTCTGCCCTCTCATGGGCTCCAGGACCCGTGTTCCGGAGCAGGATGCGGGGCCATCTCCAAGTCCCTTGGTTGCCCTGGTCACTCATGGTCAAAGCCAACTTCCCAGCAGTGCCAGAGCTGGAGGAGACAGCGAAGGCTGGGAGGAAGGAGCAGAGGGGGCCGGGGGCCTGGGGCCTGGGGCCTGGGGCCTGGGGCCTGGGGCCTGGCTGTGACTCCTAAGGCCACCTCCAAAGCCGAGCCCCGGTACAGGGCTGAAGGTATGGGCTTTTCTCCTTTCTTTCCATACCCCAACCGCAGCACCCTACCCAGGCCATCTGCACCTCCTGTCTGCCCTCCGCAGGCCTCCCACCTCCACCCTGTGCCCCCGGTCCCCCTGCTTGGACCCCCAACCCAGTCCCATGCAAGTCCCCGCCCACTCCAGCACCCCTGGCCCGCCCACCCACGGTTCTTCCTCCTGACATGGCCTTGTCTGCCCCAGACAGCTCGGCCTCATCCTGGCTCTGCTGGCAGCTCCTGCCCGGGGGCTCCTCAGCCTGCCCTCCTCCTGCTCTGTCTGCAGGCCTTTCCCATCCTCCAGGGCCCCCAGCCCCTGCCTCTTTCAAGAAACCGGGCCTGCACACAGGAGGCTATGGGTTCTCTCTCCCCACTTAACTGACCGACCCCCGACACCTGGGTGTGCGGGCACGGGCTCCCAAGAGAGGGAGGGGCGGGTCTGGACAGAGACAAGAAGCTGTCCCATGGGAAAGAGGGCTGGCTGGTCAGGAGGCCTGGGTCACGTCCCCTGCACCATGTGACCTTGGGCCAGTGCCTCGCTCCTGGCCTCAGGGTGGGGGCCGAGCTGGGTCACCCCCAGCTCTGCATGGGTGCACGTGCGTGTGTGCGTATGTAGGGGACCTGATGGGGCAGGGCTGCAGCAGGGACTCGACGGGGGGATTGGCACCACTGCAGTGACCTCAGAGGGCAGGGCCTCCTGTCCATCTGCCTCCTGCCTCACATCACAGACTCCTCCTCCTCCTCGGCAATCTCGCGGTCCACCTCGATGGCCGTGTTCTCGAAGCTGGTGACACCACCGTACTTGCGCATGTGCACCATCAGCGGCTTGGGCGACTGGCTCCCGGCCAGCGTGGCCACATACATGCCTGTCCGGTTCTCCTCCAGCGACGGGCCCCAGTCCATGGCTGGCCGGCTGGCCTGCTGGAGCCGCTGCGCAGGCGAGGGCGGAGGGGAAAGCGGCGGTGGTCAGGGAGCGGCTACCGTGCCCGGCAGGGAGCTGAGCCAGAGCTGGCAGAGTCCTTGCAGCAACCCCAGGACGTCCCCCAGGGAGCACTGCCTGCATCTCTGTGTAAATCCTGCCCTGCCACGCACACACCGTGGCCTTTGGGTGGTAACCGGAGCTCCGTGTGCTCTGCCTCTCTGTCCCTCCTAGGTTGCAGGAAGGGTCCTGGGAATGGAGGCTGTCGTGTGGATGGGTGGCAGGCCCATCCAGAAGCTGCTCTGGGGTTAAATGCTCGGCCCTATGGAGGCAAGGGCTCTTGGGAAAGAGCCGTGGACCCAGGGGTCTGAGGCCGGACTGCAGCCGCCCTTCCCGTCCCTCCCACCCTGACCTTCTGCCTCTTTCTGACAGTGACCTTGTCCTCTCAGAGTCCCAGCTGCATGGAAGGGGGGTGCTGACTAATGATGACTCAGCCTGGACAGTCCCGACTTCCTCCTTCCTCAGACCACACTCCAGGGCCTCTGCCTGCCCCACCAGGGAGAAGCGCTCCCCAGCCCTAAGGAAAGGAATCGGCTAACAGGAGGTGAGGCCCGCAGGGGGCAGGGTCTCGGGTGGTGACAGGCAGCCTCGGTGCACAGTGGCACTGCTTCCCATGGGCTAGGAGCGCACTCCCTGCCACTCAGGGACTGCCAATGGCTTCTCTGGCTCAAAATGGGACCCAGGGCCTTGACCATGGCCTCCACGGCCTGGCCTCTGTCTCCCTCCCTTGGCTCCTGCCACCTTCCCTCTGCTTCAGGCACGGAGGCCTCCTGGCTGATCTCAAACACAAGAGTGCCCCCTGCCTCAGGGCCTTGGCGCCTGTTGCCCTTCTGCCTGGAGCACCCTTCTCCCTGTCCATGCGGCCAGGTCTGGGGCTTCCTTGGAGGTCTGTCCAGACCCCCACGGCACCACTCTATTCCTGTCTTCCAGGTTTTGGGTATCCTTGTGAAGTGCTATTGCTTCTATGCTCCATGCCTGCAGATAATGACTACCCCTTGGGTCTCAGAGACAGTTGGTTCCATGGCCAAGGTCACGCCGGTGGGAAGTGGAGGCCTGGGACCTGAACCCAGGCAGTGGGGGCTGGGCAGGGGCGGGCTCACCTCCCAGAGCGAGCCCTCCTCTCGCAGCACGGCCACCAGCATGCCAGCCGGGATCATGAGGCAGGACAGCAGGCCCATCAGGATGCCCAGGAGCTCGGCCCAGGCAGGGAAGCGGTAGCTGCCGTACTCAGAAGGCTGGTACTTGACAATGCTGTACACCAACAAGGCCTGCCACATGGGGGGACAGGGGCTTCGGGCACCATGGTGGGCCCGAGTGCCCAGCCTGGAGTCCCCCACCGCAGTGTTCTGAGTTGTCCCAGAGCCCGAGGTGCCCAGCGGCCTCTACGGGTCTCACCTAGCCAGCCCTGTTCCATGTTGACCCAACCCCAGCTCCAACCCAAGAACCAGGCCCTGAGGTCTGGGGAAGCCCCACCCACTTTGCCAACCAAACCCAGCAGAGCTGGGCCCAGTGCTGCTGTGAAACCTGGGACATCGGGGAGACCGGGGTGGACCAGGATCCTGGCGCCCAGAGGGGACTCCTGCTGTCAATCCCCAGCCCCGGTCAGCAACCCTCCCTCCCACGGCCATTACCAGGAGTGTGGCTGGGGACAGGAGCAGCCAACAGGCCCTGAAGTAGAGGCCTGGCTTGAAGCCCAGCATCATGTGGATGTCCCGGCTGAACCTCTGGATGCCTGCACAGGGCGAGGAGGAGGAATGGCCCACCCGCAGCCCCCACGCAGCCCCTCCTGCACCCTAAGTGCCCCCACCTGGAACGCAGGTGCAGGGGGGCTGCAGGGTCGGCCCCAGTCTCCCACCATGGGGAGCCTCAACTGCCACCCACACCCTTCTCACCATACACCCTGGTGACGGCGAGGCACGTGGTGATCACCACCACCATGAGCCCGAAGCTGGCGCTGTAGTCGTCCAGGAGGACCAGCCAGTACATGCCCCCCTGCAACACAAACCACGGTGCTGGGGTCCCTGCAGCTCACCACGTCTGCCTAACCTGCCTCGCCCTGCACGGGCACCTTCTCCTCTGAGTCTGAGGCCCGCATCCTGCTAGCCCTGTTACTGATGCGAAAATCAGGCCCTGTGGGGCAAGTCCGAGATCGCTTAGCAAGTGCAGAAGTGAGGCTCCCACCCTAATCACCCCCTTCAGGAGACAGGGCCCAGGGTAGGGAACAGGTGGCAGAGCCGCTGCTGGGGCGAATGCCTCACCCCGCGTGGCCCACGTCCTCCCCGCAGCGCCACTCACGTCCGTGGTGAGGATCAGCCCCATCAGGTACATGGCCACGCAGATGAGCCCCGAGAACACGGCCTTCTTGGGCCGCAGGTAGTACGGGAACTCATCCGTCACCGCTGTCACGATCGTCTCCAGAAAGGCAAACTGGAGAGGGCGGGAGGCTGGGAGTCAGCGTTCTGCCCCCACCCCACCCCCCCAGAGACCCCGCCCACTGCCAGAGCCAGGGCTCACCTGGCTGTCCAGGCCAAGAGTCAGCAGCATGAAGAAGAAGAGGAAAGACCAGAAAGGCGACAGAGGCAGCATGGTCATGGCCTGTGGGTAGACGACAAAGGCCAGGCCGGGGCCTAGGCCCGGGGCACACGGGGTCAGCGGCGGGGCACGCATAGGCACACACACACACACACACACACATGCACTTAGGTCCACTTGCACGCGCCCGTTAGTGCAACCCAGAAATTAGTGCTGAATGCATGCTTCTGACGCTTTCTTAACTTCTAGGATGTGGTCCTAGATGAGAGCAAATGAGCTCCTGGGGCCAGCGCGGTGACACAGTGCCAGGCTGCCCCTTGCCATGCTGGCATCCCGCACCAGTGCTGGTCCCGGTCCTGGATGCTCCGTTTCTGATCCAGCTCCTTTCTCGGCTAGCATGCCGCAGAAGATAGAGGAGCATGGCCTAGGGACTCGGGTCCATGCCACCACAAGGGAGACCAGGTTGGAGTTCCTGGCTCTTGGCTTTGGCCTGGCCCACCTGGCTGTTGCGGCCTTTGGGGGAATGAACCAGCAGATGGAGGAACTCTCCATCTCTTTCTGTCATTCTGCCCTTCAAATAAGAAAGTAAAACTTTAATCAAGAAAGACTTAATGAGTACACAAATCAACACAAGACCAAAACGCAAAACCCCCTGAGAATATACTTTTGCAGTAATTCTGCCCAATTAATCTCCAGGACACACATGAGGGCTTCAACAAGTTTGTGGAAAATGAAATTTTTTATGTATTTTTATTATTTTTTGACAGGCAGAGTGGACAGTGAGAGAGAGACAGAGAGAAAGGTCTTCCTTTGCCGCTGGTTCACCCTCCAATGGCCGCTGCGGCCGGTGCACCATGCTGATCCAATGGCAGGAGCCAGGTACTTATCCTGGTCTCCCATGGGGTACAGGGCCCAAGTACTTGGGCCATCCTCCACTGCACTCCCTGGCCACAGCAGAGAGCTGGCCTGGAAGAGGGGCAACCGGGACAGAGTCCGGTGCTCCAACCGGGACTAGAACCGGTGTGCCGGCGCCGCAAGGCGGAGGATTAGCCTAGTGAGCTGCGGCGCTGGCCGTGGAAAATGAAATTAAAAGATCAGCTTGTTTTGGTGTAGAACATTCTGAAATCCACACACAGCTTCTTTACAACACACGTTTTTCCATGAGCTTTTTTTAAATTTATTTTTATTTTTTGCCAGGCAGAGTTAGACAATGAGAGAGACAGAAAGGTCTTCCTTCCATTGGTTCACTCCCCTAATGGCCACTAAGGCCAGCACCGATCTGAAGCCAGGAGACGGGTGCTTCCTCTTGATCTCCCATGCAGGTGCATGGCCCAAGCACTTGGGCCATCCTCCTCTGCCCTCCCGGGCCACAGCAGAGAGCTGGACTGGAAGAGGAGCAACCCAGACTAGTACCTGGCGCCCCAACCGGACTAGAACCCGGGGTGCCGGTGCCGCAGGTGGAGGATTAGCTAAGTGAGCCGCAGTGCCGGCCCTCCATGAGCTGTTTTAAAAACCCTTGGTCCTTACACGCACCCACTGGTGCAGGGTGGACTGACTTGAGTCCCTTCCACGCAGATATCTCAGCACAGGACATGATTCACTGAGTAAACAAGACACAAGCCCGTCTCATACAGGAACTCCAGCCTCAGGTTAATGTACATTCAGGTACACACCCGGCCTGGTGCACAGGGATACCTAGACACCCATGAGGACAGGCACATGTGCGCACACACACACACACACTCCGTGCACTCCACAATCTTTCTGGCCCACAGGTAAGCTCTCCAGCCCAGCCCCACACTCTAGCGCCTGGCCACCTGCTCACCTGCTTTGGCTACTTGGTCCACAGGCACGCCCAGCTCCTGAGACATGTAGCCCAGCACGGAGAAGATGGCGAAGCCAGCCAGGATGCTGGTGACAGCGTTGCCTAGGGTGACGATGAAGGTGTCTCTACCAGGAGAAGTCCAATCACAGGCCACAGTGAGCCGGCTGCGCCCTCGACTGCCAGGCCCTCCCTGGCCACCAGGGGCTGGAGGCAGTGGGCACTGACCTGTAGATGTTCTGGTGAAACGTGTTGTAGGAGGCAAAGGTGAGCAGACCCCCGAAGCCCACGCCCAGGGAGTAGAAGATCTGCAGAGCAGCTTCGATCCACACCTGTGCCAGGGATGGATGAGGGAGGGCAGAGAGGAAGGGCTGGCTCCAGGTGACAGGCAGAGTGGGCAGGAGCCTGGCTCCCAGGGACATCGGGCCTCAGCTGCCCACCCAGCATCTGGAAGGGGGTCTCTATCTTGGTCCAATTCTGGAGGAAGCAGTGCCCGAGGCCCCGTGTCCAGTGGATTCGTGTGAACAATGAGCCTGTGTGACCCATTCATTTCCTCCCTGGAGTCGGTCAGAGGGGCCTGGCATTGGACCCCAGCCTTGCTGCTTTCCAGCTGTGCAGGCTGGCCACGCCCCATCACCTTGCTGGACCAGAGGTCCCTCGTCCACAACAGGGCAGATAGGAAGAGTGCCTGCCTCGTGCTGGGGGTGGGGAGAGATGACATAATGACTTAAAACACCTGCACAGAGTCAGGTGATGCATGTTCGCTGTCAGCGTTGTCACCAATGTCTCCCTTGGGATCTGGGATCCAACAATCCCTGGCCTTGCAACCTTAAGCTTCCCATGAACCCTTTTGGACCTCAGGTTCTTCCTTTGCAAAATGAGGAGAACAGCATCTACGTCAAAGGACGGTTGGACTCATGAATGAGCCTGGCCCTGGGGCTGAGCACTGGAGGACTCTTGTCCCGTGCCCCCACTTCTCCCAGTGAACACTCTTGCCTGTCCTGGGCCCAGCCGACTCCTCCCTCTACGCCCCAGCCCTACTGAGGGCCTCACCTTGGAAGACAGCAGGTGGTGGAACTGGGGGGTGAGATAGAACCGGATGCCCTTCCAGGCCCCAGGGAGGGTGACTCCACGGACCAGCAGCATGAGCAGGATGAGGTAGGGGAACGTGGCTGTGAAATATACTACCTGTGGGCGGCACACGGGAGCTGATGGCATGAGGCGCTAGCCCCCCACGCTGTACCTCTGCCCCAGACCCTACTCAGTCCTTCGCCTCTCCAGCCTGGGGTGCTCCACGCCCGGATCATCGTCTAGGATGCTCCTCCCTCCACTCTTCTGTCGTCCCTCCACGCATCTGCACTTGCTCCCCAAGGCCGTCCCAAATGCACCTGCATTGCAACTCCCTGGTCCAGGCCACCTCCTCCTCCATGCCTGCCCCCCACCAAGCACTGCACGTGGCTGTCAGACATCTGGCCTGCCCCAGCTGCTCATGGTCCTCCCTCATCCCCCTCCGCTCTAGCCACTCCCACAGCAGGTGCGTTCCAGCCTCCACCTGCCCACTGCCCGGCTGTGACGCCGAGGACCCCTCAGCCCTCGCCAGATGGCTCTCTCCTGTCCTGTGCTTTGAGTGGCTCTCCTCCTTGTGGATGCCTCCCAGACAGCCCGAGGGCCCTTCCTGTGCCTCCACCCCCTAACATGGACATGTGTGGCTTCGCGTCTCCCAGTATTCAGTCTGTCTGCCTCTGCTCACAGGGCCCCGACTTTCTCCAAACGACACTGATCCTGTCCCCAGCCCCAGAGGTAGGCATGTGATCCAGGCTGGGCTGAGCAGAGTGTTGCAGCCTCCCAGCCACAGACAGCGGTTCAGCCCAGCTGACCCTGGGAGACTGGATTCCGGGACATTTGCAAACTGGGCAGAGAGAGAACCCTGACGGAAGCAGAACGGCTAGTGGCCGCCTTGTGAAGAAGGAAGCCAGTGCAGAGGAGAGCGTTGCCCAGAGACTGAGAGAGGCAGATTCCTGAGAGCATCCAGGGAACCAGCAGCCCCTGCGGTGCCTGACACACACCCTCAGGCGTCCAAGAGTGTGACAACTGGACCCAGGTCACTCGCATCTCCGAGAGCCCTGACTCATAACCCTTCTCCCATGTGAGCAATTCCACAAACTCTGGCTGAACGCTCCAAGGCGCCTGCCTCCTCCAGGAAGCCCCCACCTCACCCGGCCTCCAGGGCCGCCCCGACTTCACCTTGCCCGAGGACTTCACCCCCTTGAGGATGCACAGGAAGACGATGACCCAGGCCAGCAGCAGGCAGAGGCACAGGTTCCAGCGGATCTGCCCGGGACTGCCGATGCCCTGGCTGCCTTGGATGTGGAGGACGTAGCGGCTGTGGGAGACAAAGGCCGGAGTGGCCCCTGCTGCCCTGCTCTGTAGAGCAGGGGTCCGGGCGCATGCAGCAGGCTCCGGCCCTCTCCACCCTTCTGCCCAGGCTCTGCTCCTGGGAGGATGGCCTCTCCTGCCCCAGCACCCAGCCTCCCTTCTTCCTGGGCTCCCACTTGGGTTTGGCGACAGCAGGAGACTGAAGGGTGGGAGGAATGAGGGTTGTGGGTGTTTGTGCCTGCACACGTACACACACAAGTGTACACACACATGCACACACCCCATTGGGGGGCTGGCCTTGGCTGTGTGCTTCTGCAGCCACTGCCCTAAGTGGGCATCCCCTCTCCCAGGGTTTCCTTCGCCCCTCGTCCCTCGCCTGCCTCCTTGGTTTAGAGGCACTAACAGTGCTTCCCACTGCTGGTCACTGATGGTGCCTTCGCTAAACTGCTTGCAGTTAAGCCCTCTTGCCAGCGCTGTGTGCCTCCTGCCTGCAACCCAGGCCGAGGCAGTGGGCCGTGGCATCGCCATGGAGACGTCACATCAAGCTCCTGGGCTGCAAGCTGCAGACCCAGGCTCATCCAGACACGCTCGTCAGCGGGTGCAGGCACTGCAGATGGACTTGAACTGAGCAACTGAGCAAACTGCACAGAGCATGCGTGCTGGAGACACAGGGCCCACTGGGGGCAAAATCCCAAAGAGCGGCCCTTTGCAGGTGCAGGAATAGGGCTCTCGGATCTAGGTTCTCTGGGCAGCCCAAGTCCCAACTCAGGGACCAGGCAGTCCACCCGAGAAAATTCCAGAACAGGATCAGGAATGAGGAGTCCTTGATGTCGGCACTCACTACTGAGCAAGGTCTGGACTCGTTTTCTGAGCTGTCGAGTGGGGAAGGGGACAGGCTGAGGACTAGCCGGACCACCAGACACCCAGCATTCCCGGGGCTCGCAGGGCGCCTGGCGCTGTGATAACCATTTCACCCGCGTTGCCTTGGGTAATGCTCACATCCAGCCCTTACTCTGTGATCGTCTCGTCTCTCCTGTTAGACTAAGCTGAGATCATCTACATCCCCGTGCTGCCAAGTGCTTTCCGCCTGTGGATACTGTAGCTGCTGCTCACGAATGAATGACCGCGTCAATGGCTGGACTGCTTCCTAGAGGTGGATGCTATGATCAGCCCCGTGACAGACGCCAGGGTGTCGCCCTCACTGGCAGCAACAGCTGGCCCTTGCTGAACACGTACGAACCCCTACACTGACCGCACAATTTGTATGCACCCCTTCCTTTCCACCTCACCACAGCCTTCTGAAGTCATCGCGCTCATCATCCCTATGTTAAAGACAAAGCAGCAGAAGCCAAGTCCACGTTCAAGATCAGGCAGCTGGTCGGGTGACGTGCTGGGGGTAGGACGCGAGGTCCACCTGGACCGGCACTGCACGCAGCTTTCCGGAGGCTTGCCGGGCCCCCTGCAGTGTCTCCGCACCACCTCCCCGCACCCCCAGACGGCTGCCGGCCCAGGCCCCCTGACCTCCAGTACTCCTCGCTGGGGCTGACGGTGCTGGTGAGGTTGAGGGGCAGCGCCCCGTTGCGGTCCTGGGCCCCCCTGTGCTCGTGGCAGAGGTCTGTGTTCCACCAGTTGCCACAGTGCTCCCAGGGCAGGTTGCTGGTGAGGGAGGCGAAGAGGTAGAAGAGCACGTAGGCGATGATCATGTTGTAGTAGATGGCCACCAGGCCTACGATGAGCAGCATGGCCGCGCCGGCACCTGCAGGGCAGAGGGGGAGGCTGCGTTGTGGGGCCTCCAGCAGGCTCCACGTTCCTGAGCTTCCCTGCCTGCCTGGAACTCGAGGGGGTGGGGTGGGGTGTGTGCCAGCACGGAGGCCTCACCTTTGAAGAGGGGGCTGATTTTCCACACGGCCAGGGGTCCCAGGCTGGAGAACTGACCCAGGGCGAGCTCCAGGAAGAAGAGGGGGATGCCGCAGATGGCCAGCATGAGGAAGTAGGGCACGAGGAAGGCACCTGCGAGGAGGAGGAGGAGGAGGAGGAAGGCCGTGGGGAGGTCTCAGGCAGGCCAGCTCACAGGCCCCCCTCCCTGGCAGACGCCACCTGGCCGTCGGAGGGAGCACCTCTCATGGCGGTTGGGACCCCGAGCCTGCAGCTCTGTCTTCTCTTTCACAGCAGATAAGCAAGGGTGACCTGCCCCCCAGGAAAGGGCAGCCCTTGGGGATCCAGCTGCAATCCACCCCCCTACCCCCCTGCCCCCCAACCCCCCACCCCCGTTCCTCTTCCCATCGGGTGGCAGCCACCTGTGGTTTCCTGGGCCTCTCAGCCCCTCCCCTTTTCTTCTCATATTGGCAGTCGTCGGCATCGCCTTCAGAGAAGTGCCCACTGCCATATGGCTCCGGAACGGCTGCCAGGCCCAGCAGCCCAGCCCCTGCTGCCCTCCCGCCCGCCTCCACAGGCTGCCCGGAGCCACCAATCACAGGCCTTCTCTGTGGCTCTCTACGCATTCATTCAGATCTTGCTGGACCGCCCTGGGGCTGCTCAGCCAGGCTGAGGCCGAGGTTGAAGTCACTCCGGAGTCGCCTGTGGCCACCCCCACCCCAACTGCAGGGAGAAAATGAGGTCACTACAGAGAGACAGAGAGAAAGAGCCTGGAGCCAGCCGTGGATGACATCGCGTTCCTGGAGGGTCCGGGCCGGCTCCACCCTGCACTTCCCAGTCACACAAACACACCCTCTCTCTGCCCCATCTAGCTTTGTGCGGCTCTCACTTTGTCTGTGTGCACTGCCTGAACAAATCTGGTAGAGACAGTGGCGGGAACACACTGGGCCTGGAGAAGAGAGTCCGGGCTGTGGCGTGGAGTCTGCCGCCGCGCGACCTCGGCCAAGACCCTTGGCCTCTCCCAACCCTGGCTGGCCCAGCATTTGTATGCACGAGGGCTGTCATTGGGGTTGAACGAGATGGGCACGCAGCCCAGGGCTGGCAGGCAGTAAGTGCTCAACCCTAGCTCCTGGGAATGAGACTCAGAACAGCAGCTTGATGGGAAGAGGGACAGAGATGGGGGAGTGTGTGTTTGTGTCAGAATGGAAGGAACTGGGGAGGAGGGGGACCGAAGATGCCGAAAAGGGAGTGGGAGGGGGAGCACGGCTCTGGAGGGGGTGGGAGGAGGCAAGTGCCCAGCCCAAGGGAGAAAACCGCGTGGGCAGCCATCGTGGGCATGAGAGGGAAGGCAGAGGGGCTTGTGATGGAAGGGGCAAGAGGATAAGCCCAGGCCACTGCGAACCACTTTCAACCAACTGTGTCCAAGGTAATGCACAGTGGCCAAGGCCATGGAAAGCTCCCTCTGCCCCTCCCCCCAGGCGCCCCCGGAAGGACCTCAGCCCCACCTCCTCCGTTGGTGTAGGCTCGGTAGGGGAACCGCCACACGTTGCCCAGGCCGACGCAGTAGCCAATGCAGGAGAGCAGGAAGTCCAGCTTGCCTGTCCAGTTTCCCCGGTCTGCAGCCAAGTCCATGTCCAGGTCCACATCCCCCTGGTCACTAGGGGTCATCAGCAGGTCTGGGGTAATGGGCTTCCAGGAAGAGAGACCAAAGGAGAGAGGGAGAAAGGTGAGGCCAGGCTGGACAAGAATTTGGATTGAGCAGGGCTGAAAGGGAAACACAAGTGCTGGTATCTGTGCTGCGCGAGCCACGTGCAGGAGCCCCCTGTGGGTCAGCAGGGTGTGTTGGCACTAAGAAGACCTTGACCTTAGCTCGGCTGACACAGAGGTCAAATCCAAGGGCTGGCCCTAAGGATGAAGATGATGGTCCTAGTAACCATTACTGGTTATGAAGCACTTGCTGTGAGCTCACCACACCACTTCATTCATGCCTGGTTTCAGTCTCAAAACAACTCTGAAAAAAATATATGTACATATTTGAAAAGGGTGGTTGTTTAGCCTACCAGTTAAGGTGCCCATGTCCTACCTCAGAACACCTGGGTTTGCTACCTGGCTGCAGCTCCTGACTCCAGCTTCCTGCTAGTACAGATTCCAGAAGGCAGTGATAAAGGCTCAAGAAATTGGGTCCCGCACCCACTTGGGAGACCTGGACTGAGTACCTCACCCAGCCCAGTCCTAGCCATTGCAGGTATTCAGGGAATGAATCTGTGCATGGGATCTCTTTCACCTGCTCCCTCATTCTCTCAAAAACTAAACCAGAACCACAGCTCAATGCGCAGGTGCACATCTAAACTCCATTTGAATCACTAGGAGACCTGAAGCTCAAGAGGTCTCATGCTTAGCGCATTTGTGGCAGGTTGCCTTGTGGGGGAGCTGGATCTGGAGCCCAGGGCTTCACCCTCCACTGCTGGAGTTCTGCTTCAGCTGTAGACACAGGGTGAAGCATGTCCAAAGGGCAGGCGGCCAGACAGGAGGGTGTTCGGGAAAGAGGCCGCAGGAAACAGGATGAAGCCAGGGGCCCTCAGCATAGCAAAGGCTTGGAGGGCATGGGAGGGCCCCTGAGGGAGGCCATAAGAGGCCCACTGAGGACTGTGAACTTCGGCTCATGGGCAGGAAGAAGCCACTGAAGCCTGATCTGTCTTGGAAAGTCAGTCCTGCTGTGCTCAGAGGAGACGAGTGCACAGGAGAATGGAGGCTGCTGTCCCTTTTCACGATTCCAGGTAGGCAGGGAGGCCCACTGGGCATTCTCTCTTTGGGCTTGGGGCTGGGAGGTGAGGCTCTTCTCCTGCCACTGGGGATCCTAGCCCCGGGGCATGGAAGTTGACTTGTCCACAGCTGCCCGGGCTTGGCACCTGGAAGGAAGCCCAAAGACACGGGTGGAGTGCCGACAATGCAGGGAGCTGCTCCCAGAAAGAGACCCCGGGGAGCGGGGCAGGAGGAAGGGGCAGCCACACCTGGCCTGCTTGCCTCCGAAACTCACCCTATGGCAGAGGAGGGTGGAGAGGCAAGAAGGCGGATTCCCCAAATACCATCTGGGGCTTCGGAGAGCAGGACCCCCTGCTGCCTGGGGGAAAACTGTGATGCCACTGGACTGAGAGTCCACAGACTACAGTTCTGGTCCCGGGTCTGTGCCAATTCACTGTGACTTCAGGCCTCAGTTTCCCCATCTGAACAATGGGAGCACCGTATGAACCAGTCTTTCCAAAAAACACAGCTCTTGGAATATTTATAGGTATTCCATGGGACAAAGGGTCCTATTTTTTAAAAGCTTCATTTTTTATTTACTTGAAGGCAGAGTTACAGAGAGAAGGGGGTGATATACAGAGAGAGGGCTCTCATCTGCTGGCTTACTCCCCAAATGGCTGCAACAGCCAGGGCTGGGCCAGGCTTAAGCTAGGAGCCAGGAGCTTCTTCTGGGTCTCCCACATGGGTGCCACAAGAACTTGGGTCATCCTCTGCTGCTTTCCCAGGAGCATTAGCAGGGAGCTGAACTGGAAGTGGAGCAGCCCGGACTTGGACCCGCAGCCATATGGGACGCCAACATTGCAGGTGGCGGCTTAACCTGTTAGGTCACAGCACCAGCCCTGTTAAAAGATTCTTGAGTCAAAGAAGTTTGGATACAGTTGGGTTGATACAGAGTCAAAGCTGTTTCTTTGCTGCAGCACTTATCGCACCCTGTAGTGGCCGAGGCTGCACAGGGGCTGTCCCAAGAGGACCGGAATAGAGCATCCCCAACTTCCTTTAAGAAACGGTTCTCGAGGGACCAGCCTGCTGGGACGGGATGGACCTGGGGAGAGGTGGGTCCACACCATCTCTCATGGGCTTCTGGCTCTGACAGTCTCTGGAGCAGGATTTACCTGTGCAGTCTAGGGGACACTTGTGGCGTCCGAGGAGCAGCTCAGAGCTGGCCGAGGGCCTCTCCCCAGGATGGTGTCAGCAGGGGGTGACAGAGGGGGCTTTGCCGGGGTAAAGATGGTGAAAGGAGAGGAGGGCTGCTGTGTCACAGGCCTGCAGGTGCCGGCTGAGGGGCAGGGCTCGGGCTCGGGCTCAGGTGACAGCAATGGGATAACAGTGCTGGGCTGACCCTCAGGGACCCCCATGGTGAACTTGCCTGAGGCTGGCTGTTGGCCCCTGGGGACAGGGACAGCCTGCCTGATTCCGGGGTGTCGGTGACAATGAAAAGAGAATGAAAAAGCCACTTCGAAAGCAACGAGGCTCCAAGGGTGGAAGCACACATGCACCTGGCAGTTCTTCGGCTGGGATCTCGGACACGCCAGAGCTCCCAGACTTCACGTGCAACCCCCTCCCTCCCGATGGCCCATTTCCCAAGGCTGTCTCTGCAGCTGGGCTGCAGCTCTGGCTCCCAGGTGAGCTCCAGGAGGGATGGGCAGCTGCCAGCTGACACTGGCCCCTGGCACTGGGTGGTGAGGCAGGGCTGTCACCCTGAGACCCCCTGCCCAGCCAGGCCAGCTGGCGAGAGGGTGTGGTAATGAGGCTCCTCTGATCCCCCCAGAGAAGCTGCCCTTTCCCTGCTCACAGAGCGGGTCTGGCTCTCTGTTTCCATGGTGACAAGAGTTCCAAGAGCAGGATGCTGCCGGCTCGTCCCCTCCTCCCCCAATCACAGGGAAGCCTGCTCCTGCTCCAAGAGCAGGGGATGGGGTCGGCCAAAGCTAAGCCAATCAGGAGGGCACCAGAGCCGCCAACCCTCCTATGGGTGACTCCCAGGAGGCCAGCTCGGCCAGGATGGGGCAGGGTTAGGAACTGAATGAGACACTTCACACTTCCACCTGGGTGTGCCGATCCCACACCTGAGCCCTCCTCCCCATCTCAGGGTCATGCAGGAGTGCGCGCCTGAGCTTGCCAGGCTGAACCCACCCCGCAGCAGTGGCAACGAGAGGGTCCGGGCTCCCATGGGAATCCTGAGTCCAACTTCATCATTGTGCAGGTGAGGAACTCGGGTTTCCTTCAGGGAGAGGAAGGAGTAGCCCAAGGTCACACGGCACATTAAGGGCAGAGCAAGACGAGGGCCCACACTCATCTCTGAGCGACGCTGCCCATCTGCTGGTCCCTGGCATTGCTCACTCCCTGCACCCCTCTCCTGGAGACCAAGCGAGGGGATCCTGAGAACAGGTGGCCCCACCCAGCCTGTTGGTTCCAGCAGCTCACAATCAGGGAAGCAATCGCCTCACTTGTCCTTGCCTCGGTTGCTGTGTTTATAAAGTGGGGACCACAGGCTGGCCCTAGGGTTGCTGAGGGATTAAATGACACAGCTCGCTAAGCCCACAGCCTGGCACCCCCGCTGCACAGAAAGTGGCTATTGACATAACGTGTGGCCCAGCAGGGTGGGCCAGGGGCTCTTGTGGGGAGGGAGAGCAAAGAGGGGAGATGAGGGTGGGGAAGATGGGGACAGGGCCCAAGAGCCACACAGATGGCCCCCAGTGAAGGTCCACTTAGCCCAGTGGTTCCATGCCCCACTGCTGGAGGGCAGGAAGCTCGCTCTCGCTCTCTCTCTCGCTCTCTCTCTCGCTCTCTCCCCCCCCCCCCGCCCCGTGTGTGTGTGTGTGTGTGTGTGTGTGTGTAGGAAATCCCAGCCCCTGTGGAGGGCTTCCCCCAGCCCTGCTAGCCCACAGCGCTCTGGCCCCTTCCACACGCACACTCAGCGGGGGGCCTCAGTGCTCCACTCTGGGGATGACCAAGGGAGGTTTGGACCGGAGAACGGACTTGGCCAAAGTCGCAGACCCAGACTTCTTGGTGAGGGCTGGCACTTTAAAGCCCAAAACCAGCAAGCTTCCCCCAGTCCTCCCACTCCTCCCACTCCCTCACCTAAACTTGGCTGGGAAGTCCAAGCCAGGTGGGGAGAGGCTGAGATCTAGCCCCGCACCCCAGCGCCCTCTGGGTCTTCCAGCTCTACCTGCCACATCCTTGGGGGCTCCCAGTCCCCCTCCCCACCTTTGCCTCCTACAGCCCTGCTGGGGGGCAGCCTGGGGGCTCAGCAGGGAAGGGAAGGCTGCCAGGCAAAAGAAGGGGGTGGGGAGGAAGTGACAATGGCCTTCAGGGCGGAGCAGGCAGGAACAGGGGTCCCCTGCAGGCTAGTGGGGGCTGCTTCAGTTGAGAGTGCATAGGTGGGGACCAGGTGGGGACCCCCAGCTTCCACTCACGATCCCCCAAATTCATCCAGTTCGAGGCTGGTGGTCAGCCATTGTAGCACCCTTTCGCCAAGCGATCAGCCCCTGGAGGATGTGGGGGGCAGTGGGGAGAGGGGAGTGCCTGGCCCCAGCCAGCCCTGCCCAGCACCACCTGGGGCTGCAGACACCTGTTGGCAGGGTCTGGCCCAAGAAAGCAGGGTCTCCAGCTCGTGCCATTCCGACCCCAGGTGAGGAGCGATGTGGGCTATGGGGGCTGGGAGGAACCGTGACCCCGCCCCTCCCTGTAATCGCGCCCAGGCGACCCTCAACTCCGCCCCTCCCCCAGCGGGTTCGGGTGCCCCCTCTCCCGGCCTTCCTTGGGCGCGGGCTTCTGCTGCCCTCCCTCAGGTGCGCCTCCGCCCTCATGCCCTACCTTGCGGAGGTGAGCTCCCTGGAGCTTCTTCATTCTGGAGGGCGGGTCGCTGGGGCTCGCCGGCTCGGCTTCCCCGGAGCGCAGAGAGCGAGCCGGGCAGCGAGAGCCTGGCTACCGGCTGCTGCTGCGCCTTTGCCCCGGCGGCTCCTGCGCACCGGCTGGAGCTGGGCGGGCGCAGGCAATGCCGTCTGGCGACTGCGGGCGTGGGGCGCGGGCCGGGCACAGCGAACGCCCTGCCTCTCTCTGCGCAGCGCCGAGGCTGGGGAGGGGTACCAGGCTGCACCCGCGTAGTCACCCAGACAGACCGGCTGACAGTCGGACAGCAGGGGGATGCGCGCGCGCCCCCGCACGCACAGCTGCGGATTGGAGGGGCCCGAACAGGTGGGGAGGGGGTTGGCGACGGAAACCCTCAGCCTCCGCTCCTCCTGCGTGACCTTGGGCAAGTGACCTGCCCTCTCTGGGCCAGGAGAGAGGCCATGCACGTGGACACTAGCAGCCCAGCGGTGGGCTCCAGCGTCCCATCGCGTCTTTGCCTGTGGCCTCTCTGATGCTTGTCTGGAAAATGGGGATAAGACTATTACCTCTCTTACAGGGGTGGTGTGAGGGTTTCAGGGAGGTAGATGTAGAAAACGTGCAGGCCAGGGCCTGGCACACAGCAGGTGCACAGTTAACATCTATCGGCCTTGGGGCTGCTAGCTCTGCCCTGAGCCACGTATGCCACCATCCAATCTCTCAACACTTACTGAGCACCCGAAATGTGCAGGTCCTGAGCAGGGGGTCTGGAGAGACAGGTGCCGTCTGTCCTGGTCACCAGGTGAGGAAACTGAAGGACAGAGGGTCAGTTACTCGGTGACACCAGGCCCAGGGTCAGGCTCCATGGACCTCCGGGGCTAGCACTCCCATTGCTGGGATAGAGGTGCAATGGAGGGGGTGGGGGTTGGGCTAGGGGAAGAGACAGCCAAGCGCCACCACGTTGCTGTGATGGTTTAGGGCTCTGACTGTTAGAACCTGGGCACAATGCACCAGCAGCAGTGGGACTTTGGGAAGTTATGGTTTGCATCTGTGAAATGGACCCATGGCCAGTGTGTGCCCGGCTGACCTCTGAGAAGGTGCTGTGAGCTTGTGGCTAGGACGGGAGCGCCGTAGCTGGAGCAGACCTATGTGCCGGTTTGCTGGGACTGAGCCCGTGTGTGCTGGGGGCGCTGACCTGTGCAGGCGGTCCCTGGCGTACAGTGCTTCAGCTCCACGTGTCTTTGACTTTGTGATGGTGCCAAGTTATAGACGCTGAGCGGTAGAAAACGGGCTTTGAATTGGGGTCACTCCTGAGGCTAGCAACATGCGGTGTGGTGCTCCCTGGCAGCTCCCAGCCAGCTACCCGATCCCGAGGGTCGGCACCGCAGCCTGGGCAGTGCCGTGTGTTGCTCTGCCCCGTGCCAGGGCGGGGCAGGGGGATACGTGTATTCGAGGTGTGTTGACCTGTGACATTTCCAACTTGTGATGAGTGCATTGGGATGTTTGCTGAAGAGCACCTGTCCATTCCAGATCCTGACTTTTCACTCTCTAAGCATCCCAGCTGAGACATTAACCCCAGAGGTGGTTGCCTGCCTCCCAGGAGACCCGGGGGCTGCGGGGGAGGCCCCTGGGGAGAGGTGAGGCTAGGGGTCTGTTCTGCCCCTGGAGCTTGGAAAGAGGACAGAAGGGTTTCCGCTGAAGCTCGGGCTGGGGGGAGAGCTGCTGCCCTGCCACCCAGACCCCACCCAGCGTCTCCTCCCCTGAAGCTGGCCACCCAGGGCAGGGAGGAAGGAGTCTCCTGAGTCCTGTTCCCGCCTGCACTTAGGGGCCTAGGGCAGCCATGAATGCCCTGGAGGGTGCATCAGCATGGACATCTGATCCCAATTCTTTACAACAGTCTGAGAAAACAGGTGTGTGCATCCCACTGTCTACCTGAGCAACCGTCTCAGAGATGTGAAGTCATGTGACCAAGGTCACAGGGAACACAGAATCTCCGGGCTTCGAAGATAAAGCCAGGAGGGCTCTAGGGAGGAAGCGCCACGGCCCTCTGCAGCTGTTCTCACCACATCCCTTCCAGCCATGCTGAGCCTCCCTGCCCACTGGCACTGGCACTGGCTCTGGCATGGGGCTCCCTTCCCACAGGTGCAGGTGGGATGAGACGTGGGCCTTTCCTTGGAGCAAGCACATCCCAGGTAACCTCTGAGCATCAGTGCAGTCACTGGGGCTGTGGGGTGCAGGGTCTTGCAGATGGGGAAACTGAGGCCCAGAGGGGTCAGTGATATAGCGGCCAAGTCGAAGCTGAGAAGCCCCATCCGGTGTGTGTCACCCAGGTCACCTCTCTCCTCGCCGCCACAGCTCTGCCTGGGAAAACCTGCACTTTGGACAAAACAAAAGCCTCAGATTTTCTGGAAGATGTTGCCTTCATCAGCCAGTCTGCCCGCTGCAGCCCCAGTGTCGTGGTCACACAGCTGGCTCGGAGTTCTGTGGCCAAGCGTGCTTGACACTGTTTTCCACCTGCGTCCCTTCTCCCTGATTCCAGAGGAGCTTTGGGTGCTACTCAGCAAGACAGCTGCTTAGGAGTCCAAAGGGGGGACACTCAATCTCCCCTTGCCCTTCCTTCAGCTGGCTTGTGTGCTCGCTCTCTGTCACTCTCTTCCTCTCTCTCTCTCTCGCTCTCTCACTCTCTCTCTCTGTCTCACATCAACCAGAAGTGAAATGGAGATGTGCACTGATTCAAGGAAAGTGTTAGATGGAAATGCACTTCCTTTTATTATATCGGGAGATATTTTTAAACGCATATAAATAAACATTTTTAATTTGCTTGAACGCTCAGGTTTTGTCACTGCCGAGCACATGTTGGTTACACCGAGGAGTGGCGGCCGTGAAAAGCGGGGTTGCAGACGGCTGGTCCATCTGGTGCGATTCAGAGAAAGAGGGCCCGGGGTGCCCCACTGGGTTGGGAGTGCCCTGTGCTGGGCTGCCACGCTGCGGGCACCAACCCCACAGTCCCTGTTGCTGCTGCAGTAGTCTCACTCACCCCCTGCTGCTGGAGGCCTCCCTGCCCTGAGCACTCCACCCCCAGCCCCAGCCCCTGCACTCTGCACAGCCCACGCCTGTGACGGGCCTGGCTGCTCCACACCACAAAGGTTCTCTCAATGGGGTCAGGAGCCACTGGACCCCACAGTTGTGCAAACGGAGTGCTAATGGTTGGCCAGAGGCCGTAACTGGTCTGTGGGCCTCAGGGGCTCAGGCCAGGCCAGATCATTGCTTTATGAGTCCCAAGTCTCCAGTACCAGCATAGTGCCTGCCATCCAGCAGAACATACAGTCACTCTATGCAGAGGGACCCCGGCCATTTCTCTTGTCCCTGGCATGGCTGCAGGGTCTGGTAGGAGCCTTTCCTGAGCCATCACAACACCCCAACCTCTGGCAGAATCCCATGGGTGACAGGCAACCCACGAGGCACAGGGGAGCTTACGAGTTACCCTCAATGAGTCCTTGCCCGTGGCGCTCCAGCACCCATTGACAACGATCAGCAGCCCACCTGTGGGCCCAGGCAGCCTCTGACCTTGCAGGTGGAACCACAGCAGCCTGCCCAGCCTGTCCTGAGGCTGGGGACAGGCCCCATCTGTCCTCAGCATCGGGGGTGGGGGTGGTTAGAGCATCAGTTAGGCCTGCCAGCATCTCACGCGAGGATATGACAGCCCGGGCAGCAGGTGGCTAGCACTCGGCGCTCAGATCGGCTACAGGATTTTCTTTCCATTAACCAGCAGAGGTGGCTGAGGCTCCGAGGAGCTCAGTACTTTGTCTGAGTCCCACAGCCCAGACGTAGTCACACTGGAACCCAGGCCATCTGACAACGCACTGAGTTGCAGAGTGGGCGTGGCGTGTGGAGTGCAGTGGGATGCTGGGGTCAGTAAGGGCTTCCTAGGTCTTAGAAAATGGGGAATGCTGGATTAAAGAAAACCCTAGGGGGCTTGTCAGAGCCTCTGATGTGCTAATATACCCTTGGCACTCCCCAGAGTAGACTGCAGGATTTCCCAAACCTGTGGTCCAGAGATGAGCAGATAGCCCAGCGACACACAGCAAATGCTTTAGAAGATCCTAAAACGATGCGCTGGCTGCCTGCCACCCCAGCCGGCTCCCTCTGCTCTCAGAAGCCTGGCCCTTCCCTCTGGGACGCTCCAGCTCTGGTGTCTACTGCTGAGATGGAAGTGCCTGCTCTCTGCAGGGGCTTGTGCTGGGACCACCGTGCCATCATGCGTCCCCGGAGCAAAGGGTGGCACAGGCAGGTGGCACACGCACTTCATGGCCTGGCCACCTCCCAGAACAGTAAGCAGAGGAACAGGTAGCTGGCACCAGAGCCCTCTGTGGGGGAAGAGGCCCCTGATAGCAGAGTCCGCTCATCTCTGCAATGGAGCGGAGCGGAGCGGCTCCTCCGGGTTTTCCAAGTTGCACTTTCAGTTGGCACTCACATCCCTCTTGACCATCCTTCCCTTCTTGGCCTGCTGAGCACTCCCCAGTCCTTGAGGTGTCAGTCCAAATAGCACCTCCTGCAGGAAGCCTTCCAGACTTTCCACGATTGGCTAGGAGACTGCTCAGCTCTCCCTGCCTGGCGGGCCTGCGTCCTGCTCTACCCCCTCATCTGAGCACAGAGCCGTCTTCCCGCTCGGCTGGGCAGCGTGGGTGGGCAGGGACCGTGTACTTCCCAGGCCCAGCTATGCCTGGCACAGGCAGGCACCCATGACTGTCATGTGTTGGGAGACGTAGCTCAGACACGCCAAGTGCTGACAGGCTGGGTCTGATACAGCTGCCGACTAAATGGGCCTGGCTTGGATGGCATCTGGTAGACCCACCTCGACCTGGCCCGTGATGACCTTTCAAAGGCATCCACAGTGACCTTGACGCAGGGATGGGGTACGTGCCACTGACAGTTTGCTTTGCTGCAGGGAAGAATGACTTTTAGACGTGTTTAAAAAGGGAAGGCAAATTTATTATTGAAGCTCCATCCTCAGGTTCCGCTCGCCACACAACACCCGTCCAGCCGAGTGCTCCGCCCGGTCCCAGGGAGCCTTCGGGGCTCCCTGGGGCTGGGGGAGGAACCCGGCTCACCAGCAGCCTCCCTCGCAGAGGAAGTGGCTCTGCAGCCTGAGGGGTGCTCAGTCCCAGGGCCTTGGGCTCAGCCTCCAGGCTGGGGAGGGCCGAGCCTGGTCGGATGGGGCAGGCGCGGAGGTGAGGCTGTAAGACCCCGTTCTCACCCACAGGTCCTGTCTGCAAGCACCCCACCATCTCTCCACTCCATCCGCTTTCTCTGGGGGCCCCCTCCTAGTCTCCCACTCCACCCCCAATAACCCACAGAGGAGGCGGGGCCTCATGCAGCGGCCTGGGCCTTGAGATGTCCCTGGGAGGCAGAGCCTCCTCACCGGACTCCCTGCTCCCCCAGGGGCCCGGGCCACAGGAACTGGAAGAGGCCCTTGCCCAGCAGGCTCGCTACACGCAGGTGGCAGGGCTGGACTCACACTGGGCCTCTTGGGCCCCACAGGAGCCACAGTCCTAGCGCCTGAGTCCCCAGGTGCCCCAGCCCGTGGGGCCGCACAGGGGGCTAGGGCAGAAACTCCTCCTTGACGGGCATGGGGGAGGAGGTGCCCAGGAGGCCAGCGCCACTGGGGCACAGGCCCCCCAGGGGCGGTCCAGCCGGGCTGGGAGTGCCATCGAGGGGGGGCGGCGGCGGCAGCTGGGGGGGTGGCGGCGGCTGCTGCTGCTTCTTGTTCACTTTGCGCTCCTTTGCCCGCCGGTTTTGGAACCAGATCTTCACCTGAGGGGTTGGACAGCAGAGACGGGGGTAGGCGAGGGCAGGGGACAGAGGTGGACTGGACGGCAGGGCCCAGCTGTTCGATGTGGCCCTCGTGGGCTTCCTCCAGATCCAGCCACCCAGACCCCGTGGACCCCCAACACATTCTCTGGTCTAGAACTCGGTCCCTCCCCTGGCCCAAGGAACCCGTCTCTGTCATCTTCCTCCTCCTGACCTGCCTAGGAGTGGGCTGCCACTCTCCAGGAAGTCCTCCTGCTTCTCCCTGGGACTGCTCCCTCCTGTAGACTTCAGGAGCACTAAGCATACCCTGCCGTAGCCTACAGCCAATCAGAGCCCCCTCTTTGGGAGGCAGCAGTGCTGGGTTTTGTTGGGGAGGGCATGTTGGAAGCAGCTTAGTTCCTCTAGTGCTGTGTGACCACTGCCTGGAGACTTGACCTCTCTGGTCTCCCCCTCCAGAGCTCCTCCGTCTGCCTGGCTGCCTAGAGGCCAGACTCCCTGTGCTGGCCCTGTGGCTGAGGTGGGGAGACCCACACACCTGCCGCTCAGTGAGCCCCAGGGTGGCAGCCAGCTCGGACTTCCGCCGGATGGTGATGTAACGGCTGTAATGGAACTCCTTCTCCAGCTCCAGGCGCTGGTGGTCGGTGTAGACCACGCGGTACTTGTCCTTGGTCCGGGTCTTACCTGAGAAGCAAAGGGGCCAGCAGGGAAGGTGAGGAAAGGGAGGAGGAGTCTGTCAAAGGCCCAGGAAGGGCCCCTGGGCAGAAGGGTAACGCAGGCCAGTGGCCAGGGCTCACAGCCCGGCCCTGGGAGAGCAGTCATTCTGGGCTCACACAGTTTGCCTTGTTGGAAGCCGAGCACGTGGCGCTCAGGAGGTGCACGCAGCACGCCTGTGTCCCACCAGGACTGGGCGGGACTCAGAACACTCTCCTACCTCGTCCCACCTTCCCGGTGCCCCCACCGTAGCCAGCCTTCCGCTCCTGGGACCCAGCCCTGATCCTGCCTGTTCGTTGGTGCCCTGTGGACTCGCAGCCCAGGGCGCAAGCAGTCCTCTTGTGCCCACTCGGGGAGGCGCTGAGGCTTGAGGTCAGGGGAACCTGCTGAGTGCTGCACAGCGAAGCTGCCAGTGGAGCTGGGGGCTTCCGGCCAGCGTCCCCCTGTCCCGACCTGGAGCCCCACGCTGGCTGCCAGACCCGCAGCTCGGGGCCACAGCTGCGGGCTGGCTGTATCCGGGGAGCCCCTGATGAACACAGCTCTGGGACGTCCGTGCCCAGGTAAGCAGAGAGCCTGGGGTGCATTCTGTACTCTAAAAACATTTTTTATTTTCATTTTTATTTGAAGGGAGAGAGAGAGAAAGGGAGAGGGAGAAAGAGATGGACCGAGAGGGACTTCCCATCCGCTAGTTCACTCCCCAAATGCCAGCAACAGTCAGGGCTTGGCCATGCTGCAGCCAGGAGCCTGGAGCTCATCCAGGTCTCCCAAGTTTGTGGCCATCAGCACTGCCTCCCAGGGTAGGCGTTAGCAGCAAGCGGCCATCCGAAGGAGAGCCCTGACTTGAACCCAGGTCCTCCGATAGGAGATTCAGGTGTCCCGCGCAGCGTCGTAAAGACTGTGCCAAATACCTGGCTCTGCAATCTGCCTGTTTTTGGCAAATGGCCCAGGTGTTCCAATTCAAGGATCCTCGCCCACAGGGCTGAACGTCAGACACACAGGGCACACCTGGCAGGCGAGGGTCGCCTGATGCATGGGGAACTACAGCCGCCTCCTGCGCCTGATGGAGGGCAGGGGGAGGGGATTCAGAACGACGCAGGAACTGGCTGGGGTAGGGCTCAAAGACAGGACTGGAGCTGCTGGTGGGCACCCTGGACCTGCCAGGACCTCAGAAGGCCCTGGCCCCGAGCTGGGCCACTCTGCCTGAGCCTCGCACACTCCTGCCTGTGCCCGGGCGCACAGCAGAAGCCACTGGGCTCCTTGACTGCTCACTTAGCTTCTGCTGTGGGCCCAGTGCTGGGGCACCACAGTGAGCAAGCAAAATCAAAACAGCCCTGCCCTCAAAGCTTAGGTTCTAAGGCAGGGAGAGAGAGATGGACACAAGCGGCAGAAACATGGAAAATACTTGATAAGTGCTCCAGAGGAAAACAAAGTGGAAGCGGGGAATTCTAAAGAGTGGCCCCAGAAGGGGCAGGGGAATTAGAGCAAAGATCTGCAGCTGATGAGATGCACAGTTGGGCAGATATGTGGGAAAGGGGCTTCCAACAGAGGGAACAGCCGGTGCAAAGGCCCTGGGGTGGGAGCAGGTCTGCCTCTATGTGTGAGGAAGCTGGTGGGACAGGGGACACATGGAGGGACTTGGGTTTTCCCCGTGGGGATGGAGCCATTGCCGAGGTCCAAGCAGAGGGGACCAGAGAGAGGCCTGAGGTAGGAGTTCCTATTATTCTGGCTGCTGCATGGAAAAGAGGTTGGGAGAGGCCGGGGAAGGGCAGGGAGACCTGCAATAGCCTAGCAGAGACAAGGCGGTGACTGGGCTTCCATGGGGGGCTCAGGCTGGGGCCCGGGGCTGGACTGCAGCACTGCCCGGGGTTATGTCGGGGCACCCTTTGGGGCTGGGATCAGAGGTCTGTCTGGACTGAGCATTAACAGTCAAGGCTGGGCTGGGCCGGGCTGGGTTGGGGCCTGGCTCCCCACCACCTTCTTTTGCAAGAAGCTGAGCACATGGCTGTCTTAGGAGGTGCACACGGCATAGCCGAGTCCCACCAGGTGTGGGTGGTCTGAGAACAATCATTCACTCCCCGCAGTGTCCCCATCACAGCCAGGCAGTCACCTCCTGGGGTCACGGCCCTGGCACCCCCGCCACAAAGTCTGCAGCTTGGCAGGACAGCCCTGGGCCTGCCGTGAGCCAGACGGCTCTGTGGAGGACGGGAGGCAGCAGCTGTTTCTTGGGTTTCCTGCTGGAGCGGCGTAACCACAGGCACAGCCCACGGCACAGCCGGAGCATGGGACAGCCTCGGCCCCCAGCCAGGCCTGGCTGGACCCAGGAAAGGGCCGAGGGGTGGCTACTGACGTCGTGGCTCCCGACGGGAACCCTCCTTGGCCTGGAAAATCCAATGCTGGCTCAAAAACAGCTCTGCCTGATGCTGGCACCGCCAAGCCCCACGGAGTTCGCCGGCAGAAGGGACCCCGGTTTGGTCTGCTCCCATGATACTGACCAAGGCTCAGGACGGTCCTGGGCAGCTGGAGACCCAAACCAGAGGCCTGCCGAGTCTTTGCAGCTGGAGCTCCGTGGAGAGTCCCCATCGCCGAGGCCCCGGCAGACACAGAGCTGCCCGAGGCCATGACCCCTGGCCTGGAGCTCTCGCCGCCCCTGCTGGTGCCTAACCCAGCACAACAGGCGTCAGCCACCAAGGCTTACACAGCAGAGCAGCCTTCCACTCGTCCTGGGAAAGGAGACGCTGGGGATCCCTGGGCTGGGGGTGAGGGTAGCTGCCCACCCAGCATCTACAAAGGCACCCAGCCCTCACTCCCCAGTGCTGTTGACCAGCAGGCACCCACTGCGGCCGTTTCATAGATAGGAGACGCCGGGCTCAGACAGGGGCGATGGCCAAGGGCCATCCCTCCTGGAGGGGGCACAAAGCCCCGGGGTGTTCTGGCTTCCAGCCGGGTGGGAGGAGCTGCGGCCCTAGCTGTGGGATGAGCTGACGGTGATGGTGAGCTGACGGTGAAGTGGTGAGCTGGCCCCCTCTCTGGGCCCGTGGTCAACTTCTGTCTGCTGGAGCTGCTGGGAGCACGTGGATTCGCTAATGAAAACAGCTTTGCCGAAGAACAAACCATCCCTGGCTTTGCAACCAGGACTCCCACATACTGTCCAGGGAGTGGAAAGTACAACGCCCTCCACGGGGCTAGCCTGCGACACAGAGCCGCCCCTGGCATGGATGCACCCCTCCACCAAGAATGCCACTTCCAGCACTGAGCCTGCAGAGAGCCACCCCAGCTGCAGCGGTTTCTCCCAGCAACGCATGTGACTGTAAGGATGCAACAGGGTGAATGAGAGCGGGCAAGCCCACGCCCACGCCCACAGAGAAGGCCGGGATGCAGACATCAACAGGGAGGCACAGGATGGGTGTTTGGCCTAGCGGTTCCAATGCCGGGTAAGATGTCTGTGTCCCACAGCAGAGTGTCTGGGTTTGCTGCCTGGCTCTGACTCCTGACTCCAGCTTCCTGAGATGCAGAGCCAGAGAGGAAGGGGGGACGGCTGCAATGACGAGGCTCCCTGCTACCCACGTGGGAGGCCTGGATTCAGTTTTTGACTCCTGGCTTTGGCCCAGCCAGCATGGGCATTTGGGAAGTGAACCATTAGATGGGAGCTCTTTCTCTCTCTCTCTCAAATAAATTAAAAAAAAAATTCAAGTTATAAAATTCCATATGTACCAATATGGAGTGATTTCTAAGTTACATAGCCCATAGAATGCTGTGCAAGGTATGTGATGGCGTGTTTGGGTAAACGTGGAGGAGAAACACACATACTTCTACATGTGTGTGCACCACTCATACAGCTCTTCCTGAAAGAATACTCAGGAAGCCAGTGATATAGGGGCTGCTGCTGGGGGTGACGGGGGCGGGGATTGTTACCAGGTGCAGATATGAATTCTTAATTTTATGGACAGGAGTCGGCTCCATTCCCAGAATAGACCATTCTGGACCAGAATTCCTGACTGCTGCTGCAAGCCATCTCCCCTTCCCTGTCCTCAGAGCACCTGTGTCGGCTCGGGAGCCCAGGGAGGAGGGGGCAGGGCGGTGCGTGAGAGTGGCAGGGTGGGGAGAGGGCCAGGGATGAATGATTTACAGGCCCCTGGGAGGCTGAGGCTCAGGGGAAGTCCAGGCTCCCGTAACAGGTGTCTGATGAGGGGCTGGCCGCTCCCAGCCACCTCATGAGTAACCCTCTGGGCCAGAGGCCAGTGGGGGTGGGCAGGAGGGAGGTGGGGAGCCCCCAGATTTTGGGGGGGGTGAGTATAGGGGAAGAGCTCTCACTCCATTGAGAGACTTCTTTCCGCCCTGGCTCACGCTGCTCAGGCTGCCAGGGAGGGAGCAGACTCCCCACCTCTGGCCGCGTGCTCACTGGAGCCCTAAGAGGCCTCGAGCTGATGGCTCCAAGTGCCTGAACCGCAGCCTCAGAAGTGCCTGGGGAGATTTTTTCCAAGCATGGACTTTGGCTCCAGAAACTCAGACCAGCTGGGGGCGGGGGTAGGGGGGCTCAGGGGGCGTGGCCCTTGAGTAGCTCCTTCCCAGGTGGCCTGCCCGAGGACACTCCCCTCACCCAGCCGAGCCACCCTTTCTGTACCTGTAACGTGGGGACAGCTGTAACTCGGACGACAGCCAGCAGGTCTGGGCGCCGGGCGCACTGTGCCTATCTCTTAACCACCCTGGGCTGGAGCAGCTGCTGTTCCTATCTCACAGATGAGAGAGCGGAGGTGGCCAGGGCCGCCTGGCCTCAGAGACAGCAGGGACCACCTAAGCTCTTCTCTGTCTCCGAGCCTGAGCTGCACCGGGGCTCACTCGGAATGTGTGCCCAGCACGTCAGCAGGGCCTGGGGAAGGGACCCATCTTGTGTTGTGGCCGGCGTGCCAGCAGAGGGATCTGCGCGATGGGCAGTGATATGCTGGAGACCACTTCTCTGTAAGGTGCATCCA